TAATCATTATATACAAGATCTGAGCTAACAGTATACGTTTTGATCACATTAATTGATTTGTTGTGCAATGTTAATGTTGATGCAATGTCAAATGAGTTTAAACTTTATATCTTTCATATATAAGATTTTGCTTAAATTTTTTTATAGATTCATACTAATTGAAAAATAATGTCTAGATAAATTTTTGGTTTTATTTCTTTTGTAGGTTCAAATATTATTTCCATAATACTTTTTTTTATCTACCTTCACTGCATTTAGATTGTAACTACCATAAACATGGATGATATTAGAGATGAAGAACACATTTTGATGAGACTATGAAAGTTATAGAGAAGAAGGTGGAGTACTTGGGTCATGTGATCTACCCAGGTGGTTTGGGAGTTTAGCAAAGATGGAGGCTATTGCGCAAATTCCTCGTACGGCGGATGTGAGTAGAGTTCGTGCATTCATGGGTTTGGCGAATTATTACCGGAGGTATGTGAAGGTATTCAATGCTATAGCGAAACCTTTGAACCAGTTGCTGAAGTCGGATCAGGAGTGGCAACGGGGAGATGAGCAAGAGAGAGCTTTTGTTGAGCTCAAGGCCAGGTTGATGGCTGCTCCCATCTTGAGGAGACCTATCAGAGGTCGTCCATACCAGTTGCACACTGATTGGAGTATGTTGAGACTTGGAGCGGTGTTGACGTAGTGTGATGATGAGGGCAAGGAGTTTGTGGTTGCGTACGCTAGTCGTTCGAACAATGCAGCAGAGTCGCGGTATAATTCGTACGAGGGAGAGTGTCTGGCAGCGGTGTGGGCTGTGGCACACTTCAAGTGTTACTTGTTTGGTACGCAGTTTATCCTTGTTACTGATCATCAGCCGCTCAAGTGGTTGATGGAGTGCGACAAGCTCACAGGGAAGCTTGCACGGTGGGCTCTCATCTTACAGGAGTACAACTTTCAAGTGGTGCATAGGCCTGGAGTTGCGAACTTGGATGCCGACGGTTTGAGTCGGAACCCATGTACTAGCCAGGAGGATGACACTGGAGCTAGGTGGCATGGTGAGGTTGATGAGGAGATGGTGCCCAGTTGGCATGCATCTGCCTTCATGTGTTGGTTACGTGGAGTCTCTAGTAGGGAGGACCACTTGACATCTTACTTTAGTCAAAGAGTGGATTGTTAGTCTTCGGATCCTGAGGTTGAGGATGGTGGTGTGGACCAGCGTGATGTTCACGATGATGCGTTGGTGTTGGAGTTCCTACGGACCAGTATGGTGCGAGGCACAGTGGGTGCCAAGGAGCGAGATCATGTTCTCCAGCGGGCGAAGAGATACCGATTGGAGGGTCCACATGTTCTCCGAGTGTGGGAGGACGGTATGGTACAAGTAGTACCGCATCCAGCTCAAAGATCACGCATTGTGAGGCATGCTCATGAGGAGTTGGGACATTTTGGAGTGAAGCGTAAGTACAGCTTACTCCTTGGTCAGTATTGGTGGCGTTGTATGCATACGCAGGTACAATAGTTGGTATCACGTTGCATGGTTTGTGATCGAGTGAGGGCATCGTTCAATGCCACGACACCAGAGTTACATCCCTTACTTATCATGGGATTGGATTACCGTTGGAATTTGGACTTTGCTGGATCACTACCTTTGACTGCACGACATCATCGGTATGTGTTGGTGATGGTGGAGCATTTCTCCAAGTCGATTGAGTTGGTGGCACTACCTGACAAGGCGAGTGAGGTTACGATGAAAGTTATACGAAATCAAAAAATGTATGGAATTGCCTGATATGACATCCATGATAAAATGATGAACTATAAGAAGATTAGTACAACAAAGTGTGTTTTGAAGTACGATTAAAAATATGTAGAAAAAAATTTCTACTGGACATATCTTTGGTTCTTGAACTCAAGGCTGTCTAATTGTCTCGGCACATGCAAACTTGAAACACATTACATTTCACAATTCACACATCTAACTATTTCATTGCACCCAATGCATAAATCTAATTAGTCATTGAGCAATCAAATTGAGTTTTTATGTGTGTGAATGGTGAGATGTTAAGTGTTTCAAATATGTAAATCAATGATTGTCACTAAGAAAGAATGAAAAGAATGGTCTTCATAAATTTAAGCAATTTATGAGAAGAAAGCCATTGATGACGATTCGATGCAACTGAAAATCAATTCGTGTAAAGCTTTATTCTTATTTTCGAGATGACGATGAAGTAGACTCAAATTTATTTAGTTTGAAAGAAAAAAAACTTACAATACTTCACTCGCCAAACAATTACAAAAATATCCAATAAAGAATTCCTTGAAATAGTGGTGCAATGTTTGGCAATGGAAAATAATTGCATGAAAACTAATTCTCTATCCTTTAATTATTCAGCTGTAGTTGATAAATGACATGTACCAGAAGCAATTTATACAAAACTGTGGCAAAACAAGTATTCACATTCACACATCAAGCAACGAGAATACATGTACTCAATTGGTACTCACAAAATTTTAGTTTTACTAGTAGAACTTCAACATTCCCTGAATATTCCTTGACTGTACTTTGGCATGCTTCTGGCTGTGGTAATCAACATAGTACTTTAACCGATTTATTTCAGATATGTTGGTCAGATTTCTATTAGAGGACGGGAGTAAATCTTCATCCATTGAAGTATGGTGCGCGTTCGGGTAGGGTCACTATTTGGTTGGAAAGTTTATTAGTTGGTTTTCCACTCGGATGGAAAGGAACAGCCAGTGGTTGTGGGCAGAATCAACATATATGAAGACTGTGTTGGACAAATCGGGGTAATCGAGGAAAGGTGTTTGGCACTGCGTAATTTATCGATACACCAAAGGAGGTAAGTGGTGCGATAAATAAGTAGGAAGGAAAGGTGATGGCGGCGTCATCAGAATGGACATGTACTCATGTTGTGCAAGAGCGATGGAGTTCCGCGTGAAGAGATCAAGGGTGCCTCGCAAGTAACTCGAAGACCTGTACTTTTACTTAGCATGGACACAACACAGAGTGGCTCCTTTTGGCTCGTTCCGTCGGCTACAGCTCGTGTCGGTGTGATCTTTTGACACGAACTTTGCTCGAGAGGGTCGTGCACTCACTCGATAGTACGGACTGTTTTCCCTGCAGACTGGACTAATGAAGACATATGATGCGGCCTTTTAGCTTCGAGTCTAAGCTCAATTACGAGAGGTTTGGTGCAATCGTCTCGTGTCTGAGGTGTCGGCTGAACTGCAGGGAATGGACTACACGCAGCACAAAACTAAGAGCCAGGGGAGTCACCAGCGGAAATTCGATCCAGCTCGAACGTGTCACTCAAAGCGTTTCATCTCGTTCGTGACGACTGTGTTTCATTATCTTTATTATTTATTTTCAGAAAAATCTGATTTTCCTTCAGTCCATTTCACTTAGCTCGGAAACATATCTCACCAAATCCATTAGCTGAATGTCTTCACTAAAAGTCGAAGCCCGAAACTCTAAGCTTGCTTCAGATCTGGCTGCTGGAATCATGCAGTGAAAGTCATTGCGCAACTGCAGCTGCAGCTGCGGTTGCAGAGTTTCATGGTGAGATGACAGACGGTCCCCGTCAAAATCTTCAGGAAGACCAGGAGAGAATGGAACAGCTCCGAACCTGATGGACGCATGTGAAGCTTGTCGCTCGGACGTGGATCATCGGTACGATATCACACATAAGTATCCCTCGCCGCACGACTCGGAAAGAGCTGGAATCAAACCTGAAAATTCTGACCGGGCGCAAAGTTGATTCTTTCGTACGTGAGATGTCCTCGCGCACATGTACAGCAGTGTTGGATTGCTGTCTGAATGAACCGCTGTCCCTCCTGCCTCCTGCTCCTCCTCCTTTTCCTCCGCTCCTGGTCGATGGACAGACAGCCCCATGTATGAACAGCGTATGCTCTTCCGAATGAAAACACCACGTGGTCCCAAATCCAGTGGCCTCACTCACCACCATCTTCACGTACCTTAATCACGGACGACGTAGCCGGTGTCGCCTTCGTTTCGACTAATAATTGGATCAATTAAACTAACCAATAATCTAGCTCAGAGTGCGACCCACACTTTGCCGGATTCCCCGACTCGGAGGTTACAGTAGAGGGTGCCATCCGAAGCAGCGATCGTCAGGGTCGTACCCACACCCCACCTCAAAACTGGAATCATTCCCGTCGTGAACACAATCTGGTGCTGATTCGAAGAATGTGCCCCGGACAGACAATAATCCCAAATGAATTATGGCGTTACAAGTATATAGGGGCCATGAAACCACTACTACTCCAACCATGACAGATTCCTGGTCGTTGGACCAAGGGCTCGACATTCTTGGCGATTTTGCAAGAGCATCGTCCCAAGTCCATTAAAGTGTCGACGAATTATACAGCCTTACATTATATACTATACATTGTATAATATGTACTTTAAAGTACAATTCAGTGTAGAAAGTACCTTCATGGTGAAGACGTGGTGATAGTAAAACTCATAGTAAAGGGATCTCTCACATGTCTTCAGCAGAGAAGAGTCAAACCAGCTACGCAGTAATAGGCAGCACCTACCACAGTCGTCGCGTTCGTGGAGATCGGGAAAACATACGCTATATTACCAAATACGTACATCATAGTACAATATAATGTAGAAAAGCAGGTCGAAAAGAGGATGTACCCAGTAATCGAAAAGGGATCACTCACACGTCTTCATCAAGAACGGCGTCCAAAGACTCACGCAGTAACAGGCAGCGCCTACCACAGTCGTCGCCTTCGAGCCGCTCAGCAGCCCGTTACGAACGTAACCATATGGCCGGCCTGGTCGGTCGGGCGATGATGGAATCGACGGACTGGAGCGGATCACGACGTGACTGCGCCCACGTCGTGACGACGTCGTCGGCCGGGTCGTCGTAGTACAGTCGCCGCACCAGACCAACCGAGCCGAGCCGAGCCGACGGATAGATGGGTCCCAAGAACGATACAGCTTTCAAGAAGGAATCTGGGCGGAATCTGGAATCTGGATCAGCATGCATCGCCGCGGCTCACGTTCCTGCGAGGAGCTTTTCGACGGGCTTCGCCGGCTGCAAGGCAACGTTACGAGGTAGGAGGAGGCCCGGAGACTCGACAGCTCAGAAATTCTTCTTCTTCTTCTTCCCTCTCTCGGATTTAGGTTTGTCACGGCGACGACGAATGTCATGATGATGATGAATTGGACGTTGACTCGATCGCAGACTGTTCGCAGCCTTGAGATTCGCTTGCGTGACACGTCCCCGCCGTTCGCGTTTCGCTCGATTTGCCTCCTTCCTGACCAGAGGTGCGAGCGACGGATTCATTCACGGTTTGATCCTCGGCAGGCCGTGCATGGGCGGGTCGGATGAGGGGAGGGGGGCGGGGGGAGAATCCCTAAGCTCGAAGAATGAATGCCCGTGGCCCCGATCGGAGACTCTCTCCGTTTGTGCGATCAATCGATGTGGTCGATGCTGGGACGGTGGAGAGTAGGAGAAGAGCGAGGCAAGAAAGGAAGCTGGAGTGGGGAGAATGGCAAACTCGATTGAGGCTGCGGATGATTTGATGGCAGTTGGCCGGGGCCCACCCAGATCGTCTGCGCTTCGAGCACCCGTGGTTTTGGACCGGGCCCGGGCGGCGGAGGAGCAGGAGGAGGAGGAGGAGGAGGAGGAAGAGGAATCCGTCCACGCAAAGGTGATGGGTGCGAGCGCGAATCGAGTGACGGACTGAGTAGACTAACAACACACGGTCAACTAAAATCGGATTCAGCTTTCGCACAAACACTGATGCGAATGCTAATAGTGTGCAACAATTTGCAGCTGGTGGCTCGAGTTTCATGCACCGTGCGCTGCTTTTCCGTCGATTGTCTTCCGCACGACGCGGGGGGCTTCACGGCTTGACATCTCTCTTCTTTCTTCTTCTTTCTTCGCCGCCTGCGTCGATAGCAGAAGCTTCACAGCTGCTCCTCACTCATCACGACCTTGCACTAAGCAAGCAAGCAAGCAAGCAGCAATTATGAAGCCGACTTCTCCTGTTCCTCCTCTCTCTCGAACATCGCCTTTTTCTGCGCATCCTATTACTGCACTGCTGTACGATTATGGGAGAGTATTATAGTGTGTGGACGTGTATATATGAGCCTCGCTCTCTACTTCAACTTTATCGTTATCCATACATTCTGAGATCGCAACCTTTGCAGCAGAACCTTCGAGAGCCGAGGGTACGCGGCAAGTGTATACTCTTGGAACAACGCTCATTCCATTAGTCGTTTTCTTGCTCTGAGAGCACTAGGAAATACACAGCTTCCGGCTCAACACTCGACAGCCGATGTGTCCTGATCGATACCCCGACTCCGAGAGCTCCGAGTTCTTCTCAAAGTTTTTCCCAATCGTCGTAGATCGTCTGAGTCTTAGAGTCTGAGAGTAGAATACCCACTGCATGATCAGAGTTGAAGGACATGCGTGCATCGACACAAACGTATTAATCAGGAGGCTGACAAGAATAGAGATGCTCATTCTGCAATTCTCGTTATCTCGTCACTGGTCGACGAATGGCTGAGACATGGCTGTAATCTTCAGATTGAGATCGGGTGAGCTTCATCATGTTTCATGTTAGTGACACCACGGTGTACCTGTTTATGACAGTAGTCAGTGTAATGTTTAGAGCGTTCGCGATATCGATATCCTCGGGCTTACAGGATAATCTGACAATTTCTGACCATCGTCTGTGCTGCAGATTGTAAGTTTTGAGTCAAAGTGTGAAGCTTTGTCCCGACGGACCACTTAGCGGTTGGCATATGGAGCGCGGACATATCTTAAGCGCAAATAGTCGACATGGATGATAAAGAGGACTCCGGACGGTCTTGTATATCCCAGTGAACATCGCAACTGAGTGGACTTGGAGTCTCCTACCCCAATATCTCGAGCTAATCAATTTTGTCCAGCATGAAGGAACACATGGCGACGGCGAATTTCGGCTTGAAAAGTACGGGACTCTCGACGTGCAGCTTTAGTCTCAGAACCTTGTGTCTTATGGGATGCATCTTGGCAATGACCATGGGACTCCTCAGTATACCGTATCTGCAGGCGTCCATCAGAACAGTGATCGATGAAGGCAAGAACAGTCATTCGATTCCATCGGTCGAACCTTCTGCAGCAGGTTTGGAAAGAAGTGCCTCAAACGAGCTTTCTGACTCCGAGGGCGCTTCGCATTCTCAAACATTCAGCCGAAGTAACACGAGTGTGATAGTGGAGAGTAGCAATGATGGAGCGGATTCGACCATCAGAATCGAGGGAGCGGCTTTGAGCGACGGGAGCATACTCGACACCATTCCGTCGAAGAATTCTGACGGGGGGAAGTCCCGCATCCATGACAAGACTAGCAGTATCAATTCCGAAGCAGAAGAGGAAGAAGAAGACGAAGAAGAAGAAGTAGTAGTAGTAGTAGGACCGAAAGAGGAGCTGACTGGGGCAGAAGATCTGCCTAAAAATTTCCATGAAGACAGAACACCAAAAGCGGCCGACGTGATCAAAGAAGAACAGGCATTGATGGTGGTTACGAAGGCTGCTGAGGAGGATGCGGATGATAGGAACTCGATTCAGCAGGAAACGAAGCCCGACGAGGAGGAAGCTGAAGGCTCAGACAACAGACGACCAGAAACGGTTGCAGAGAAGGCTCGAGCTGGTGAAGCCGGAGATCACGAAAGAATCAGTACCACTCCGCGCACGGACGTCATCGCAGATGGTCTCATAGATTCTTCTGAGTCCGACCTTGATCGCAAAGGTTCTAGTACTGAAACATCCAGAGACTCTGAAACGGACAGCGCTTTGCGCCAGAAGACGTCGGACGACGACGACAGCTTACAGCTTCTTGATCGTGCAAGAGCTAATTCATCGGAACTGAACTCCAGTCGGAAAGGTAAGTTCATGTCATGCAATACTCGTAACTTTGTCCAAAGTGGTACAATTGAAGGCTAAATTGAACGCTACATTGCTGAGAGGTCTGCAGTGATAGCTGGACTGATGATGCTCGCCGAGGTTGCCGGGAGTGTACATGAAAAGATGGAGGGCTCGCGTGACTATTATGCTCGATTTTGCTCTTGCAGTTGCCAGCTGGCGATGACAGAACTTGACTCATGCATCGCTCGCTCGCTCGCTCACTCACTGGTTGCGCTTCCAGATACCTGCGACATATTCACGGGGCGTTGGATTCCTGATCCGATCGGCCCTCTGTACTCACACAACTCCTGCCGAGTACTGAGCCAGCCCCAAAATTGCCAAGCGAACGGGAGGCCCGACAAGCTGTACGAGTTCTATCGGTGGCAACCCCGAGACTGTGACATTCCACGACTGGATCCTCTCGCATTTCTCGAGGTCATGAAGGGCAAGACGCTCGCCTTCATCGGCGACTCTGTGGCCCGCAATCAGTTTGAAAGCCTCATGTGCGTCTTGTTCCAAGTAATGTCCACTTTCACCCTCTCACCCTCCTCGTCAGCTTCCAATTCGATGACCCGTGAGGGACATTTAAATGACAATAGCGAATTTCTTGCTATTTTCTCGACACCTCCTCGTTACTTGCAATCTTATACAGATATTCCTGAGACTCGTAAGAACATTGTTCAACGACATTCAAAAGAAGAAGCTAGTAATGGGCAGAATTATTCAGCCATACATATCCCCTGAGGAACAGAAGGCTGCGAGGCTGTCGAGGAAAGAGGACGATAAATTTACTCGATTCCTGGAGTCGTTGTGTAATGGTCGTCAGAACGATCTGTCTGCTAATATTTGGTCTTGCATTTTCATTCATGTCTTACGACCTGCCTTCTTCTTCTTTTTCGCCGTGTCTTCTGATATCTAAGGAATGCGAATGTTCTGAAATGTGAGATCTGACGTGAAAATGAATGGCCGACTGACTGGCGATGGCGATTGCACTGGCGGACAGGTTGCGGAGCCCAAGAACAGGGGCAACAAGGCGATGCAGCGATGGTACTACCCGACGCACCAATTTACGCTCATCCGCATCTGGTCTGGCTGGCTCGTGAAGCAGTCGAGGGAGCCAATCCCTTCGGCTCCCGACGATTCGGTGAAACTCACACTCGACGACCTCGATTCGGACTTCGCGACGCACATGCCCAAGTTCGATGTGGCCGTCATCTCGACGGGGCATTGGTGGATGAGGAAGTCGGCGTACATCTTGGACGGGGAGATGCGAGGCGGATACGGATGGAAAGTGAATGCCACGCTCAACAAGAAGAAAAAGATCGAGCAAGCTCAAGCGTTCGGAATCGCGATGGAGACCGTGTTGAAGAAGATCCTTGCCATTCCCGATTACAGGGGCCTCACGATCTTGAGAACCTACTCGCCCGATCACTACGAAGGTGGCCGCTGGGACACAGGGGGCTCGTGCACGGGCAAGACGCAGCCCCTCCGCCAGGACCAGCGGCCAGACAATGCATTCAACCAGCTCATGCGGTCCAAACAAATGGCTGCACTACGATCGGCGACGAGAGATGGGTCCAGCAGCATCTCGTCGCTCGCGTTGTTGGATATCTTTGAAGCATTCAATCTCAGGGCAGATGGTCATCCTGGACCTTACAGGAGTCCCGATCCCAACAAGAAAACCCAGAGGGACGAGCAAGGTCGACCACCTCCTCAGGACTGCTTGCATTGGTGCATGCCGGGTCCTGTGGACACGATGAACCAGCTTCTGCTCGAAGTGATCAAGCGCGAGCTTCGAAAAGACTGAATCCACGTCTGCTCGGACTCTAAACCACGGGAGCTCGCTCACGAAGAACCCGGCTTCGTGATTGACGAATGCGAGCGTGCGTGCCCGAGATTCACAGCCAGCCCAAAATTCATCCTCGTGCAACAAAAGGTAGCTCGAACTCCAGCTACCGTATCCCTGAATCCGAGGTGAGATCGAGCTTTCGATTCGAGGAACGAAGACGAATTATTAACATCTAACCCCAGCACCGAACCCATCGCGAGGATGGTGCAGGGATGCAGAGAATTCCACCGTCAAACGCTGCGTGGTCGGTCGATGAGAATCAAGCGCGAGGGGACGAGTACCCCCACTCCCCTCGTGAAATCTCAGCACGCCCAATTTTTCAGCACCCTCGACGGACGCGAGCGCTCTGCAAATTTAAGCGAATGGACTGAAGAATAGAAGAGGAGGGTCTCCCCTTCCTTCCTCATGATCGTGGGATCGATTCTATTACGTGAATTGTACATTACTGAACATGGACTCTCGAAGAGTTCGAACTAGACCTAGACCTAGACCTGACTAGAGGACGCAGTTGCTAACCCGTAGTTAGTACACACCACTCCCCCTCACGAGGTAGCAAACGCAGACTGCATTGTACTCTACACGATTTGCTTTCTTGAAAGAAAATAACTTCGTTATATGATCGTCAAGCAGTCTACTATGAGGAAGAATATTCCTCGAATGTGCTGCGAGGATTCTCGAAAATACTCATGGCATGGCACGGAAGGGCAGCCTTAGTGTTCTCCAACGAGTTACTTAATTTTGTCGATGGCGCGAAAGTAAGTGTGTGTGTGTGTGTGCGCGCGCACGCGCGCCCCCCTAGCCCGAGCCCAAATGCTTGTAGCAAAGTATCAAAATACCTCGATGGCCAAAATCACAAAAGAATAAATCGACGGTCATGATCGCATAATCACGATAGAGCGATGGAGCACCGAGTCCAAAGGAAGGCCTCCGGAGCTTGTAAATATGGCCAGCCTCCAACCCCATGTGCAGTTGAGTTGATTATGTGAGTTCATTGTATTCCGACGGTGAGCACGTCTTTTTAGATTAGAATGGTTTGCTTAGAGCTAATCCTTTTCCGACACTCCCCTTCCTGGTAAAATCTAATAAAGCTTGATCAGAGGAAGATGGGCTCGAGCTGGTAACGGGTTTACCACGTCGAGGACTTACCACGTCGCACCAACCACGCGGTTCGGTTCGATCGGATGCTTCCTTACAGCCAGAGAGTAAGTGCGGACTGCGTAACTCGAGCGAAACTTACAGAACCCTGACGCTCAGTCCGAAGATGACCTAATCCTATCTGAGCTGTGACTGTACAGGCAGTAAAATAGGCCAAATTCGCACACGTAGAGTTCACGGATCCCATGCTGTTACAGTACTTCTATCGATGATACTAAGAATGTTGTTGCAGTACTGTAGTTACTGGAGAGGAAAAACAAATCAGTAGCTGAACAGAATTATTCATAAGAAAATATTATGCGCATCAGATTTTTCTCTGCTTTCCATACTTATCTTTCTCTGGTCACATGGATCCAGCCTTCCTGTTGCCCAGACCAGTCTAAGAGTAGTCTCCACAGATGACTCGAGTACAGCAGTTCATTGAAACACCGCAGCATCAAATACTGTATGCAAACTCGCAGCCGATTACAGTTATCATTATGGGCCCATGCATCAGACACGTGAAATCCGAATGCCAAGTCGTTACCTGCAGAAGACAAACTCGCCACATGACGCACAACATCGAGAAGTTAAATGAAATCTCCATGAACAGTCCGCTCTTGTCTCGTCTGAACTGGGCCCCCTCGCATGCGATTTGATTCCTGGGATAAATCAAATGCGAGCAGATGCGCAAGTCGCAATGGGCTTCAAAGGCAAGGGCGGGGCATCTTGACTTCGGAAGCCCCGACTCACTAAAAGAGAGAGAGAGAGAGAGAGAGAGAGAGAGAGTGTCGATAAAAACGAGGAGATGAGGATAAGCAAAGCAAAGAGGAGGGGAACGAGCAGTCGGTGAGGGGGAGAGAGGGGGGGTCACAGTGAGGAGCAGCAACTCCGCGACCGGGACTTTGTACGACGGACCGGGGGTACGACGAGCGGGCGCGTACCGTACTCGACGACTGGGGAATTCTACACATTCGCGGCCCCCGGGGGAGCCGGAGGGGTCGGAGGGGCCGGAGGGAGAAGCGTACGACGGTGGAACATGAGCGTGAAGCTGTCTCTGTGTAGGCGAGCGGCATCGATCGTCGGAACAACTGCTTCCGTCGGGATTGTCGATGAATAACATCGGCGTGTAAAATAATGCCCTAGCTAGTCCCCGGAGGCCCTCGTCATTTTGATGAAATGAGGACGATGAAATGAAATGAAGAATTGCCATCGAAAGAGAAGAGACGCACGCCCCTTGAGAAAACCGAGGTGGATCGAAATTCAGCGTGCTGACCTGAAGAGAGAGAGAGAGAGGGAGAGGGAAAAAGTCCAAGGGCCGTCGCGGTGTCTGCGATTTGATGATTGAGTCGCGTCGTCCGGCCAGTCAAAGCGGCCGTGGTGCCTGCAGGTCTGGCGGGACAAATTGCTGCACATTCGCCGCCAAGCAAGGGAGGAAGGGCAGCAGGAAGGCAGGGACGGAGAAAAGCGCATGAAGGGGCTCTCTGTCTGTCTGCGTCGCGAAGGAACGACGAAGCTCCCACCCACTCTTGCGCTTTCCCCGAGGCACGGCCTTCCTCCCTCCCTCTCTCTCTCTCTCTCTCAGTGTCTGTCGCTCTCATCTGTCGCAGAATAGAAGAAGCCATAGCCGATGCGGTAGGCAACAAACAAGCGACCGAACGGTCCTACTCGCTGCCTGCCTCCATCTCCTCCGCCAGCGAGAGCCGAGAGGAGACGGCGACAGCGACAGCGACCAGCCCCTCGAGAGACGAGGAGGGAAGGAGGGAGGGAGGGAGGGAGGAGGAGGAGGAGGAGAAGAGGACTGAGTGAGGGATTGTATGTCGACGCGGTACGACGAGGGAGGAGCTCAAAAGAGCGACATGAATAGAAGGGAGTGAAAAAGAGAGCGGTGTTGGCGGTGGTGGTGCTGGACGAGGGTCGCGCTTTGGTTGGTGGATGAATCGCAAAAAGGCGAGATTGTACGCGGAGGGGTCCAGCAGGAGGAGGAGGAGGAGGCAGCAAGAAGAAGAAGAGGAAGAAGAGTAGGGAGGAGGAGGAGGAGGAGGAGGAAGGTTGAGATACGGATGGCATGGCGCCCTCCCTGGAGGACGCAGAAGGGGAAGTGAAGTGGGATAAGCCGGTGCAATGGCCGCAGGGAGGGAATTTGACGGAGGAATGGGTAGCGCAGCTGGCCGCGACTTTGGATTACGCGAGTCGCCACATGCTGCCCACCGATCTGCCCACCATACTTCCGGTCGCGCTGACGGACCAGATTATCAGTACTGCATCCAAGCTTTTGCATCGAGAGGCCAACTGCGTCGAGATCAGCGTCGAACCCGATTGTCAAGTGGTCCTGGTCGGAGATGTGCACGGCCAGTTTCATGACGTTCTGCATTTGCTCGAGGTCGCCGGCCCGCCTGCTGCAGATCGCATTTTCGTCTTCAATGGAGATTATGTCGATCGGGGCGCGTGGGGGCTCGAGACGTATCTCTACCTTTTATGCTGGAAGGTCGAGCAATTCTCCGCCGCATTCGCCTCTGTTTGCCACCTTGTTGCTCTTTTACTTTGGCCCCGATGGATGGATGGTTGAAACTAGGTCTCGACACCAAATCCGACACCCTTAGCGTCTCCAGACTTGTAATGAATTGCATGAATTTGCTAGGTTCTGATTTTGTTCCCTCCCCTGTTTGTGTGGCCCAACGAAGCTAGAAGTTCGGTTTCGCTGTTCTGCTTCTTGGAATTAGGAGTGTCAGTGTCATGATGCGGACCCAATAATCAGGATGATGGAGAAGGAAATCGCAATACAAATTTTGGGACCTTCCTGTCTCATCCCGAAGCTGCTCATGAAGTTCTGTTTTCTGGAGTGACATTTTAGAGAATGCCTACACTTCCATGCAATCCAGCAACTCATGCTTCGGTGGTGAGAAACCTAGTTACACGAATTTTAGAGTCGTCAAATTCTCTACAGGTTTTTGACTACGTTCGAGCTGAAATTTGTATGAGTCCACTCCAAATGTCCTGATAATTCTGGGCGTTGTCGGGTGATGAATCAGATACTCATGCCACACCGAGTGTTCTTGCTGCGGGGCAACCACGAGACGAAATTCTGTACGAGCGCTTACGGGTTCGAACAAGAAGTGATGACGAAGTACGGTGATCGAGCTAGGCACCTGTATCGAAAAGTGCTCGGCTGTTTCGAGGGACATCCTCTGGCTGCTCGAGTGGCAGGCTGTGTATATCTCGCTCACGGAGGGCTCTTCAGATACGTGGAACCGACTCCATCCAAGCGAAGTAAGATTGGCAGGCGCCTAATGAGGACACGCAGTCAGGACGGGTCATTAAAATTGGGAACCTTGAGTGATTTGCAAAAGGCCAGGAGGGGTGTATTGAATCCCTCGGGCTACGGGCAAAACGCTGTTCCTGCAGATGTTCTGTGGTCCGACCCTTCTCCCCATGATGGCCTTTCTCATAATAAAGCTAGGGGTATCGGTTTGCTCTGGGGTCCGGACTGCACTCAAGAGTTCATGGAGAAGAACAAAATCAAGGTAAGCATCACTTGCAATCGATTGTAGCCCTTGTGAGAAGTCGGAGAGTCACCCTTTCGACAGTTTGTGAAAATCGAACAGCTGTATATCGTTTGAGCAAATTCTCGACACGGTTTGGAAAAGTCAAGCTTTCTCGGTCAAGTTTAGTGAAGGCAACGTGACTCGTTTGGATGTTATTTGATGACCGAGACTCGTAGTTGATTCCATGGTGGTCGACCTCTTCGTGATGGGTTTAGTTTGTTGGACGCTTATTGCAGTTGATAGTCAGGTCGCATGAGGGCCCGGATGCACGGGAGAAGCGGCCGGAGATGGCACCAATGAATAAAGGATATACTGTCGATCATGTCGTCAAAGCAGGCAAACTTGTTACTCTTTTCAGTGCTCCTGATTATCCTCAATTTCAGGTTTCTCCCGCGATCCCTCTCCGATCATTTATGGTCTTCTGTAGGATTTGTGCATAATGAACTTCCACGTTGATCACTCGCTCTATTTGTATACTTCTGCGGTGAAAGGCTTAATGGCTGGGGATGTGAATGCCGCACTCGACTGACATTTCCTTTTCATCTCCTGGTGCACAGCAAGAGCAAAAGAGGTACTGCAACAAAGGGGCCTACATAGTCCTGCAAGCTCCTGACTTCTCAGAGCCCCATTTCCATTGTTTTGAAGCTATTCTCCCTCGACCCAAGGTAAAGCTTGCTTCCTTCTCGTGGTCTTGTGCACAGTCTTGCCGTGTTGTGAGACATATCGAGTCGGACATCCTCTAGCACATGTGCATCTGTGTTTCGAAACGAGGAGTAAAATTCCAGCGAGGCTCTGGCCTCCGTTGCATGTGGTCTGCTGCCATAGGCACCATCACACACACACTCTCTCTGTCTCTCTCTCTCTGTGCCTGCCTGCTGGAGGTGCACGGAATGCAATAATAACGCAAGTCGTCATCGATGCAGGTCCAACCGTATTACGACTTCGTGAACTGTATCGATTCCGACGAAGAGCTGGACCTGGGAGGCTCATCGGAGGGCTCAGGAGGAAGTGGTGACGAATATTAGCCTTGTAACATAATTGTGGAGTTTGAATTTGATCAGATTCTTGAACCCGGAATGGAGGAGGGCTCATAGTAGATAGATTGATAGATAGATATACCTTTGGAGACTCCAATGTGCTAAGCTTAGCGTGATATCGTTCGAGAGTAGACTAAGTTCAATCCTAGACTGGCCTTACTTTTCCATCTCCCTGTTTGGAGTGTCCAGTCCGAATACATGTGACTGCTCATTGGTGCCGCTTCAGTGATTTGTGAGGTAAGATCGAGACATGCGCGTCGCCGCGTGCACCAGGCTCTCAGACAAGCGAGCGAGGCCGGTGCAGTCGACGTCGTTGAGTTGGAGTATGCGAATCCCCTTCTGATGGGTGGTGTTCATAATAAATACAGCAAAGTCTGCTGCCTTCGCTTGTGTACAGTATAGACATCATCATCATCTCGTTTTAAGAGTCTGAGCGACGCTTTGGCGTCAGGATGGATCCTGTGATGTCGTCCAGCTTTATTCTCGGGGTTTCCTTGTCGTGCATTTCGACCAGTTCACACTTCACTCCACTCCATTGATCCTCGTGTATGAATAATCTACTCGATCGCATGTAGACGGATGCGAATTTGCTCAAAATCGCTCAAATTTTGCCGGAAGCTGAGGCTGCTTCGAGGTCCAGCTGGTCGAGAAACCGAGAAAACCTTATTGTTACTGAAGAACGAATCGTCACGAATCATCTGCAGGGTTCGCCCCTCCCGACAGGTCTGGTCTTGTCGGTCACATCGAGTGTTCTAGCGCTGTCTGTCCGGACGTTCTGCCGGAACTGATTTGTCGACCGGTCTCGCAGTAAAAGACGTACGAGCTGTGAAAAGCTTCCAGCACTTCATCTGGCGCTATGGAGGCCACTCTAGAGGCATCAGATGGAACCCAGAATCAATAACAAAGGGCTCTCCCACTCCCAGAGCCCCGCAGGATCCATTGCGGACAGGCACTCAATCAATCAAGCTCGAGGAACCGACATGAGCCTCACAAATCATCGTTCCCTCCCTTCCTTCCTCCCTCCCTCTCGTCAGTGCTCGCGTGACCTACGAGGACTTTTTGAGTCGAGCTTCCGAATGTATTCGGAAGCTCAAAAGACTCCGCGAGGTGTGAACCGAATGGCCGAAGGAATTTCAAGGGCGGAGTAGCCGACGCCTGGCGGGCTACATATTGCATCCCCATTTCGTCGATCGAAGAGACCATCGAGGTTTGGGGTGAGTGTCGAGGAGAGCGGCGGAGGGTTGTCGCTGCACGAGGAGGTGGCGAAACGAGAGTAGAACGGGAGCGGAACGACGGGAGACCAGCGGTGGACATGGCTTCGAACGGGAAGGATGCCGTGGTCCTGGAATGATTCCAATTCGTGCTCGTGCGAATAGCTTCCAGGTGTAGATGGATGGGTATATTATCGACTAGCTTCGTGCGAGGGAGGTCGATTTCTTGATTGCTCGTTTGCAGATTGTAGGTAGGAGAGATGGCGACGGAAAACGCCGAGGTGCAGGCGGCGGCAGCAGAAATGTTGGAAAGGAAGCACGCGGAGAGGTTGGAGAGGTTGGCACTCATCAACAAGAATCGTCTGGAGGGATCGAGCATTCGGAAATCACAAGCCGCAGACTCTTCCGACCCGCGAGAGTCCGTCGATGTTTTCCTGGCGGCATTTGGGCAGAAGAGGGAAGTGGTGGAGAAGGGACTCGCATCGGCTCTGGCGAACGAAGTCGAGCCGACCCACATCAAACGGCACCTCGATGATCTCGCTCTCGAGGTCGGTGCCCTGGAGAAGCTCGTCGCCGATGCCTCCTACTTCCTTCCGGCGTACGATGTCCGATCTTCTCAAACCACCATCCTCAAACTCAAGGACGATTTGGAATCCGCCTCTTCCCAACTTCTGCCGAAGAAGAAATTCTCTTTCCGCAACAAGGCAGCCAAGAAGGTGCCAGCGCCATCGATCGAAGAGAAGCCGACGACTCTGGAAACAGGGCAAGTGAAACCTAATGGCCTCCAAGACACTCCACAGCCTGTGCCCGCAGATTCTCCCGCAGCATCTCTTCCGGAAATTAACAATCGAGAACGTATTCAGGGCAAAGAGAATATGGTTTTCGTGCGCGACGCCGATGTCTTGGGTGCAGAGCTGACACTTTCGAATCTGAACAAGTGCAAGGTTTATTTGAGAGGCAGGCTGACCACTTTGTACATCGATAGTTTAAGGAACTGTCAGATTTTCGTCGGACCCGTGACAGGGTCGGTGTTCATCGAGAACGTGGAAAACAGCACTCTCGTCCTGGCGTCCCATCAGATTAGAATTCATTCTACAAAGTCCACAGATTTCTACGTCCGCGTTCGGAGCAGGCCGATTGTGGAGTACACGACGAAAAATCGCTTTGCTCCCTATGCCTTCTCTTACCTGGGAATCGAGGAAGATTTGAGAGCCGCCAATCTTGCAGAGGAAACCGGGCTGTGGGAGAAGGTGGATGATTTCCGATGGCTGCGAGCAGTGCCGTCACCCAATTGGACCTCCGTGCCCCTGAAGGAACGCATTCATGTCGAAGATGGCTCCATTGTCACCGGTGTAGGTTGCGACGAGTAGTCAGAGAAGAGGTGACCCGACCACCGTCTCGACCGATGGAACTGCGACAGGCTGAACATTGTCATGAGCACTAGAGATTTGCACCGGCAGTTTTGGAACCCATCATCTTTCACGGAGTGTTGGGATACATTTGCTCATGACTGTTGGAGGCTGGTCGATTTTGTCATGCGATCCACATGAGCGACAGACACAGATGAGGTGCAGCGCCCAAAGCAGGTTAGGTTGCAGTTGTAGGCTTTGCGCCCTTCAGCAAGCAAGAGCCGATGCATGCCTTGTCCACTCATTTGTTGCTAACCAGCAGCTAATTGGTTGCCTGTGACATGGTTCTAGCAGATGCTGTCTCTTCCTATATCGTGGCCATAATTTCACAAACGGAGGCTGCGAGGCGGCATGCCTTCAAGCTGCATTCTTAGCACTCCCTCCTGACGAGGAAGCATGTGAGCGATGGATTTTCAATCCCTGCGGACTCTACAGTTTTGAGCCGTCGCTGTCGGTGAGAAAGAAACGGAAATTGATTCAGGCACGAGTGACTGAACGATCGATCAATCTCGTCCGATTTGAATTCTTTCTTACTAGTGCTAATAGTGCCCCTTGTGACAGTAGAGTTCATGTCTGCAGAGTGCACTTTTCTCCCTCCTGGACCGGATCTTCTGTTTCCTTATCATCTGAGAATGAGCCCTAGTGCTGTGTTTCACAAGAGCTATCATGGTTCACAGATGTTCCATCAAACTGGAAGATTTTCGTGAATTCAGTTCATTCATTACGAGCCCTACGTTGTTTTTTTACAGCAGTTGCCATTCTCATCGATTGCTGAAAATCGAGAAGAATGGCAAAAGGTTTTCGACCAGCAGAGCAGTTAGGTAATCATCAGGATCGAAGTTATGACTTAGGGGAGTTTCCCATCCATCATACAATCAAACTTCATTGTAAACTGTTATTGGATCTGTGATCTGCCTGCACTTTGTGAGTGCTCCTTGAAAAACTAGCTGTCGAGCAGGCAAGAAGCACACGTTCAATGAATCATGGGGTAAACTTAAGAGAATCTGTCTGCCGAAGCGCATGTCTCTAACCACAAATGGTGCCTTCGATCGAGATCTCAAGGAAATGCTTCAGTGGCTCGCAGTTGTGTAGAGGACTGTCGGTCTGGCCTCGACATTGTGTGCAATTCAGAGTATCACAGCTTCCGCCATGATCCTGATGTTTTCTTCTAAAATCATTGTTGGTTGACACGAGTTTCTAAATTCTTATAGGTCCTACTGGTTCAACTGAGCGTATTTATAGCATCGATCTTCTTCTCGAAGCATTTCCGATGAATGTCAAGCCAAATTATGTTTTCAATCACTAAAAATTAATGAATCGTAGTGATAAGTTGCCGAACTTCTGCTTTAAACATCATTGCTACAGTGTAACAGATTTTCTATGTAATAGACATTTGGTTGCCATTATATCATTGCACTTTCCCTTTAAACTTGGATCTGTTTCCACCTGCTTTCAGTTTTGACCTCTTCTTGCATTTCTTTGGTGGCTTTTGATTTGTGCTTTTCATCCTTGTTTTACTCCATTTTAGGAGCACTGTCGTGTCACAGCTTCCTATATTATACCTACACAAAGTTACGAGGACACTAAGACGGAATGAACTTGTCATCCATCCTGTCATGAAATCACTTCCATGGGTATCTTTGATATCTGGTTTTCATACCGAGAGAAAAACCTCCAATCACATTAATCACCAGGTCAACCACAGAAGATTGATTAGGATCCAAATGGTCTTCTGATTTCTGGTCAAGCAAGTCAATTTCGTGAGACACACAAACTTTATGTGGCACCACACAAAACTGCATGGGCCATTCTTTGAGCAGTCAGTGGGTTTCGTAGAAACATCATGATTTTTTTTCCCGCAATTCAGAGTGCAGAAAAACTTTACGAGTTACGAGTTTACGCATTTCTCTGATTGCGTAGTACCTTAATCAATCACTGCAATATTGTTCTGTAGACTAAACTGTCCCACGGCTTAAATCATTACAAGATCTGACTTTGTGCCAGATTTTATTTATAATACTAGAAAAAAAAGCAGGAAAACTCTTTTGAAAACACCACTACAAAAATTGTGGAATTTTTGTCATAGAATCAAAATATGAGGTGATACTTAATTTATTCGCCAAATTTTACTTCATCACTCTCTACTCCATTATATTAAGCTCAATCTTCTCACACAAAATAAACCATTTTCCTTATATCTCCACCTGCTTCACTAGTATCGCTCCTAGTAATTTTATCAGCATTTTCACCTGTACTCCCACTAGTACCGCTCATGGTATCTTCACTGGTACCTCCACTAAAGCTACTGCTCGCATCTCCATTAATAGCAACATCATTGGTACCAACATCATTATGGATAATGGACAAGTAGCATGGAGATCAATGACGTTTCAATGCGTCAATCTCCGTAACATCATCTCTGTCAAACTCATGTCTCCATGCGTCAATCTCCGCAACATAATCTCTGTTAAACTGATTGTAATCATCCATGAAATGTTCCTTCAAATACTGAAACAATTCCTTTCATGCATATGTGTGTGAACAATATGGAATTACGCAAAAATTGCATATCACACTCCGTATCAAACTCCTGAATGAAGTCATCAAACTCAATGGTGTTAACTATACCAGAGTATTGTTGTGGATACTTCATAGTCCCGTACATTCCATCCATGTCCGAAATCAACATGGTTTTGACACTGGATGATATTAGCACAAAAGATTTGGTGTCGTTAACATCCTGGTCCTCCGCACCAACTGATAACATAGGTAAAGGTATCCAATACCTCAACCCACTCCGCGTAAATCCACTCTGGTCCTCAACAGTAATACCAAACGGCTCCGTGATGACCAACTCCGAAACTAGCACCACTGTTAAATCCCCATCAAATAGCCAAATTCGCACCTGACGTCGTGCTCACACTAAGCTTCTCTGGCCCTACTAGCTATGGGGTATGTACAACCTAACTTGCCATCACCACAAGAAAACTCTCACGGTCTATTGATCATCACTGTGAGAGGATCAAAGATAGGCCTACCGGTGATCAAGTCCAACCGCACTATCAAAAACACACATGAGTAAATCTACTCGGAAACCAGCGTCAACCCTACATAGCCGCGCACCAAGAAGCAAGACTGGAGATGATCCAAAAATAAGCAAACAGCTAGCAACGACTTTCTAGTCTGTATGAAACACAGCACAAAATAACACAACACACACGGGACATTGCATTGCATAGCGATCCTGATTCGATCTTCATCTTTCTCTTTCACCTTCTGTCTCCGACGCCTACAATGCCATCTCTTCCACCAAGTTGCAAAGAGAGTTTCCACGTCAGCCTCCACTTCACACTACAAATTGGGGCATAAAAGTTATGCTCCCACTATCTCTTTCAAACATATTAAGCACAAATAATCTCAATATGTTTTTGATAACGACATCTGTATACAATTACAATATCTTCACAGCCAGAAAATTATAGTGGTTGAGATCGGATGAAAACTCTTGATACTTTTAGACTAACTTCTCTAAACCCTAAATCTCTTTGTTTACTCTTTCTTCTTTTTTTTTTCTCTCTCTCACGCTATGAAGCTTTGTTATGATTAAGGAGAAATTTCTCAAGCTCAAGAATTTCTTCCGACAAACAGTCTTGAACTAACTAAAAATCCCTCAAATGATTTGCAACATCCTTGGAAAGGTCTAGGAGCTCATCTTCACATATTTTGTAATGTGAATCGGATTCGTCCATCAGTTTTTTCACTGAAAGCTCCTCATCCCAATCTAATTTCAAGCCAACTGCAGTAGAATTTTGTCTTGCTGATCATCTTCTAACATAACATCGTTCACCTCATTCTCTTCTTCTTGCGGTTGCAGAGTCAACTCCTCCTTCAAATGCTTAGGTTTTGTGCTTCTGAATACCTCCACCGTTTGGACCTCTTGTACCTCAATGTTGCTCACCTTATCTTCAAGCGGCATTTTTCTTTTCACAACTCTAAATCAGACTATATACAAGGTTTGTTTTACAAGAAATCTGTAACAAAATCACTGAATGGAAAATTGAAAACAATTTAACCATAAACCTATTAGACAGTTATTATAGTTTTACAGAGCTGTTTAATCATAAGTTCACTTTAGCTAGTGAACTCGGAATGTCACCAATTAATTCTTGACGTTAAATGATGATGTTCATCCCAAACTATCTTCACAGTTCCGTAGCTCGTAAGGTGCGCAATTTAAGAAAATTCCTGCTATTTACTACCACTGTAAAACTGACACAATGAAACTGAAAGAAATTCAAAGACCTACATAGATCAGCTTCACCTCCTGATTTCCCAGTATAGTCATTGTTCTTGGACTTTACACACCATGCAAAAAAGTATAAAGACGGTATCTACGCACATTTGATGTCACGTATTTGCTTGAATCTCCACGTATTTTGCATGCGTCTACACTCGCTCAACATCTCTATTTGGGACTCATATGCACGTTGTTGAGTGAATGTATACATCATTGTAATTCTCCTATATAATTCTGACTTGAAACCTGTATAAAGTCAAACTCTTCAAAGATCTTCACCTCTACAAACTTCAGCTGTACTTTAATACTATACATCATATATTTCCACTTTGCTCCTAGGTACCTGATTACTTTCAAGAGAACAAGCCAGCTTAGTCCTGTGCCATTTTTGAAGCTAATTCCTGATGTTTCTGAAGTTTCAAATATTTGAAGCATGTATCTTCAACCTCTGCTTTCCAGCTCCAAATTCCTATTCCGTTTGCAAGACTGCAAATATTTCCAGAGATTACTCAGCAATACGAATTTGCTTGTTAGCCGACAAGAAGTCCAAAGTACTCAGGTTGTGAAGACAATTTGCAAGCTTGATTTGAACCAACGTGACATCTACCATTACTATGAACATAGTTTGCAAGCGGTCAGCTTCTTCCGGGTTTCCAGCGACAAGGTACTCAATTTCACAACCAAACACTTCTTGAAGTTGTTTCTGATTTCTTCTCTGTGTATGTCATCCATGCATCAGCTTTTGCTACGAGAGGTTTGCCAATCCCAGTGTGTGTGAAGTCATCAATTTTTGGAAGCGTGATTAAGAGTTTCATTTCTGCAACTCCTTGTGCTTCATTACAATTTTTCAACAAAGGTAATGGCAAAGTGTTCTCCTGAATAACATTGTCTATAAAATAATCAGTTCTTTAATTTGCAACTTGAAATGTGTGAGAATAAGTGGACAAACGTAAATGCTTACGTTTTGCTAAACACTACAGCCATATTGTGACACTCATCACATTCACGTTGAGGAAGCTAATTGAATTCCCATTCACCATCAACCATCAACCATAGACATCACATGTCTTTCTCCTTTCCCATGAAAGGAATTGCACTTGCAAGGTTCCTTCACAGAAGACGGTCGGGTATTTTGACTACCGTTTCTACTTTTTGGCCACTATACTTTACTCGGTTGGAACTCACAACTTGAGTATTAAGCTATTAACAAGTCACCATTGTCTTCACATGTTTCATACTGAAAAAAGGTGCAAAAAATTCCAAAATGGTCACTTGTCATTCCTGTAGTTCAGAATTCGTTCCGAAAAAGATTTATCATGACTGATCGTCTTGCAAATCCGCTCTACTAGATACTGAAAACATGTCCAACAAGATTTTTGACTATCAATTGATATACTGTTGACAAAGCTCGTACACGTCATAATCTGGAATCTGCTCGCCACTTCATATTTGTCTCCATAGAGCTACAAAACCCTTGTTCACTCCAATCGTCCACGTAATCTTCCCAAGGTTAGAGATTTTGAGGAAGATAAATCTGAAACCACTTTCCAGCAACCCTTCCACAATCTCCAATCTATCGAATCTTCTTCCCGACTTCAATCAAGATGCCAACCGGTGAGTGCAATCCACATCTTGAGAAACCATCACAAATCAAAAACAACCTCAACAGCACACCTCCAATAACCCTCGTCGGCTTTGTATGATCTCCAACAAAAAACTCAGTTCTTCGATTGAAATCACTCGTGCTAACTCAATTGGTTCAATACACGAACGTCACATATAGTCAAGCTCAATATACTTACTAAAAAATCTAGACGCTTACGAGCACCATAGCCAAACCCACTGAAGACTACTCCCAATGCTACAAGCTCGACTCAAAGAACTGAATGTTTTTCAAGTGACCTCCGACTTTATACCCTTCGATCCCTAATTCTAGACCGGTATTAAAAATATATTATACGCGTGTAACTGACAAGTATGATTTTGATGATGTTGTGAAGCTTATTCATCATTTTGATAATGCATTCAAGTGGTACATAGATAAACGCTTCACAAATTTCATGCAATAGTAATATGGATGAGATTGAAGCTATTATGTTCTCCGCACCTCTTCAAATTAGATGTTGAGAAGCGTTGCAAATAATTTTTCAACTATCCATTTGATGCAACAAATGCTTGAAGATGAATTGTATTTGATGGTTTCAAATATTTGCCGAAGTCATTCAAAATCATATCTCAAAATCATATTTTACACGTACAACAATCGATCTTACAAGCCATACACGGACAGTCGCCAAGTAGTCTCGAGTAGCAAGCGCGGGTAGGCTTGGGCAGGACCAGGGAGCACGGACAGTTACCAAATATTCTGTTTGAATATTTTGTCAGTCAAGAAGATTCTATCCATAAATATTTTGTCCAATAGATCTTTGACAAAATATAGACAAATTGGATATCATTGGAAAAATCTTGACAAGAATAGTGCATTTGGAAGTTTTTGAAGAGCTAAGAGTTAATCCACAAGGAGAAAATGGCCAGGAACGACATTGTCATGACAATAAGCATCTCTATACAACATTGACTATGATCCACAGTCAATCACGGTTGACTGTGATTTACAGACGACGTTCATGAGTAGTCACGGATGACGGTTGACGGCTGAATGTAGTGCCCTAACTTCATGCATGTAAAGAAGTATCATTGATTTGGTGCCAACAAGTAGTGGTCGGGGTGACAACCCACATGTTGAAGGATCTGGATTTTTTGATTTCTAATTATGCGATTTAGTAACTTGTAAACTTCATGTTAGTATAGATGTGTCTTTCATTGATTGAAGATCATTGAAAGAGAGGAAGAGATCTAAGGCCTCCATATTAACAAGTGAAAGTTTTTGCTCACAAATATGGGTGTGAGGGAGTTTGATCATTATATCATTAATGATCAAGATGAATATGATACAAGTTATGTATAGTATAGTGAAGCACAATGATATCACATACAAGAGTGTCTGATAAAATGATTGACGATAAACTCTAATAATTGAACTAGTCAAGATTGACGATAAACTCTGATGCATAAACCAGTCAAGACTGATTGTAAACTCTAGTGATTGAACAAGTCAAAATTGACGGTAAATTCTGTTCATTGAGCTAGTCAAAGTTGACAATAAACTCTGGTGATTGAACTAAGTCAAAATTGATGGTAAAATGTGTTCATTGAGCTAGTCAAGACTTACATTAAACTTTGGTGATTGAGCAAGTCAAGGTTGACAGTAAATTATGATGATTGAGCTAGTCAAGATTGACGATATACTATGATGATTGAGCAAGTCAATATTGATAGTAAATTTAATCCATCTGATGCGTTGACCAAAGTCATTTTTTTGGAGAGTTTTAAACGACACTTTGCTATCATGCAGGTTATGCATGTGGAGCATAGGGAGAGTTAGTTAGCATAATGTATTTAGTTATTCTATCATGTGATGACTACGCCTTAGTTCTACTTAACTTTCATGTAAAGAGAGTCTTTGTATTAGGTTTCAACTAAACTTTCCGCGGCCTAGTCTATAGATTATAAGATTTTTGTTCCCTCTATGTTAGCAAGTTTGTAGTTAATTTTTCATGTTATTACTCATCATGTTATGGCTACAGCTTAGTTCCAGTTATCTCTTGTGTAAAGAGGGGAGCTCGTGATAGGTTTCTGGCTAAAACTTTTGACCGAGTAATAATGTAGGTTATAGAGATGGTTAAGAGGAAGATTGTTGAGATCAACTCCAATTAAGGAGTGACCTCGGATTCTAGCTAAAATGTTCGCTTGAACGGGGGTTAAATACTCTAGCTTCTGCCTTGTACAAAGTGTCTTTTCTAACCGACTTGAATAAGATATTCAAGTGTGAGCTTTCTAGGTGGACGTAGTACTCTTGAGTGTGAACCACGTTCTACAACGTGCCTCTTGTGTTGGCTTGGCTTGAGTTTTTCATTGGGAATCTTGATTTTATCTTTGAGAATCTCAAAGAAACATGTATTGCAGATAGACAACTAACGAAGGATACTCTTTTGCACATGGCCGATTGATTCTTGTATCCACAAGGGAGTATGTTATAATGTAGATGTGTAGAGCTATCTAGGAGTTAGAAGAATCTAATCTAGACATCCCAATTTCTGAAATGTGTTTACATAATTTCATAATTAAAAAAAATTTTAATTTTACTACATCCATAAATTGAGTATGTCTTCATGATCATTAATGAAAATGAAACTGTTGTTGATAATACTTGTTGAATCCAAAGCAAATTTGCCATTGCTGCCGGTAAAAATACGCCATGTACTCTTTGTCTCCATGGGCTTTGTCACAAAAATCGACGCATCTTGTCTTTATTCCACCATTTTGCCAAATCATGACTTATTTTTGCTAATTTTCATGACATTTTTTCCATCAAGACAGAGATTTTTTATTTCATGTGTCATGATTTCCATCGTATCGAGCTCTGAATCGGCAATTGTTGCTACAAAATTTACAAAAAAATCAACTTCATACACGAAATGGAATTTGGATTGCAGATCACTCAACTTGATATGACAAAGAACATTACGTTGATACTATGTTTATTATGCATTCATCATGCCAACGAGTTCATCGAGAAAAAGAACGTAGCACAAAATAAATTCCATGAACAACAGATTTGAAGTACAACAAATTGCACAATTATGCAACTGAATGAACGACAGAGGGTTAAAACATATCAATCACTAACATCTTGTATGATTGTTTTGAAGAAAAATCAATTACATAATAAGTATAATAAACAATTCATTTGTAAAACACAAATCACTCTCTCATACATCTCCGAGACTGATGTCATTCTGGATCGAGAAATATGGTGCGTTTGTATTTTGTTTCTCAATAAATATTAAAAAAACTAAAATTTAGACAAATAGAACTCATAATTTAAGTTAATTTCTATAATTATGAAAACTTCCATGTCTTATGACGTCTAATCTAACCGTCAGCTAAGGGTAAAAAATTGTGATACATTTATTTCCTAAATGTATGTATGTTGTATGACGATAGGCATTCGAACAACAACTGTCATGTACACATACGTCGGGATTATAATTAATCAGATTAAACTTAGATCTTAGTGTTAGGATTAGGATTTAGGTCCCTAACCCTTATTTTTATGTTAGTACCACTCTTGTTTGTTGGAGAGTATTGTCCAATGAATACTAGAATAATCTTCAATTCTTTGAGTTAAATCTTCAACATTGGAAGTAGTTCTCAATAGGGTTGATTGTGGTTTTATGTTAGCATCGGCCTGTATTCTTCTAGTTGTGAAGTGGGTTTGGGTTGGCTTGACTATATAAAACATTCATGTTTCATGTCAGTGAAGCTTTCACGAGTATTTTCAGTTGTGATACATTTATGTATGTGTACGCTTCTGTTTACTACATGTATGTGTGTGAGTATAACATGTCATCTATGTATGTCGTATGATGATAATTATTTGCATTGTATATTGTGTATGGTTAGATTTGATGTTTTCTTTATATATGATGATTTTTGTGAAAAAATGTGTATGTACATGGTAATTTAAAAAAAAGTAGTGAATTAACATCACAAAGTTAAATTTCCAAATTGATAAATGTTATCATGTGATGTTATAGTAAAGTAGCATGAGAAGATCATCAAAAAATTTCAACACTTAAATCAAAGAAGATTAAAGACACACACAAATGTAATTGTGTGAGATCAATATATCAGAGTTAGTTTTTAGAGATCAGTATATGATAATGTTGTCAAAATTTCACAATAAAGACATTGCAAAGCACATGAAATTCATATAAAGACATTTCAACCGCTTAATAATGTGGAAAGATGCATATACATTCTTTCGCATGACATGTCAACAAAAAAAATCTCAATCAATGAAACCTGTGGTTATGTACTTAACTATTGTTTATAAAACGTTTTATCGTCTAGCTAATCACTATGGAGGTCAAGTTCAATGGAGTTGTGCATTCAAGACATGGTTAAGTAGTTGTATAACAATTTATGTTATGATTGAAGAGAGTGCATTTCATCATTGTTGAGAATAAGATAGTAAAATAAACAATAACAATTTATTGATTGAGATTTTTTTTGTTATCATTCTATACAGAAATTACTGATTGAGATTTTTTTTGCACGAGATTTTGTTTTTTTCCATCAATCATGCAAATGTGAATCAAATTGTTCCTTTTGTTGGTTTTATCTTCGCTTTAGCTTTGGAGGTCAAAAGCATATAATTAATTTGACAGTCATAAACTCAAACCTTGTGAAAAGAAAAAATTGGTGTTTTGTAAAACAAATATATGTGTTTTGTAAAAATTGTGATGTACTTATACAATCAAAGGAATTGTAAAACAACAGTTCCGAAGAGAGACCAAGTTGAATAAGCGAGTCTTTAAGTGGAAGAGGTGTTGGCCGACGTAGTAAGTCTGAACCAATAGGGAAGGCCGGTACTTTAGCGTCGTGTACAGGAGACTGCAGTCGACGGCGTGGACGACGGAGTAGAACACACGTGCGAAGAGGATGAAAGGGCGAAGGCGAGGCTGAAGGGAGCTTAGCGAACCGGAGCCACTCAGTGAGTCTGGGGCTTGTCTGGCCCCAATTTGGAGGCCCCGTGAAATTCTGGAAGGGGCCTCGAGGCAAAGCAACGGCCCGGTCAGCAGCAGCAGCAGCTCCAGTCTCATGGTAAAGAAAAGGCGTTGTGGATGGATCGTCATCTGGCTTGATTCTCCCCCCTATCTCATCCCGTTCCATGATTCTCCCCGTCCCTCGTCGCCCACACTCTCCCCACACTTCCTGCTCTGCTCTGCTCGCCTCTGGTACAGGCGACCAGAGCGAGAACGGATCTCTCGATTCTGTCAGCAGAGGAGGCAAATCTGATCGAATTGAGCAATTGTCCGTTCAGGTGCAGCGAAGCGCTGGAATGAAGGAATGAGCAAGGGAGCGAGCTGAGGTGAGAATGGAGTGGCAGTAAGCCCAAGCTCCGAGAGGAGAGGAGAGGTGAGGTAGTCGAGGCGGGGGTAGGGACGGGGAGCGACGAGGAGGAGGAGCAAGAGAAAAGGAAGAATGTGGGGCAAGGGAGGGATGGCGGATGTCTGAGATGCAGGAGGAAGGGACCGAAGGAGGGAGCTGGAAACATGCTGAAGCTTCCTCCTCTGCAGTGTGAGCTCCCGCACAGCAGCACCAGCAGCAGCCGAAGCTTACATGCCGTCGCCCCAAGCACCGCCACTGCCACTGTCACGGCCGCCGCGTGTTCGCCCTCTTCAGCCCCAGCCCCCGCTTGGGCTTCGATCTCGTCCTGGCAGGTGAGTGAAGTGGAAATTCTGCTGTGCCATCGGGGCTTCCACAGGCATGGAGGAGGGGGAGCGGCAAGGGTCACCGTGGGCGGCTGTCTCGGGGGCAAGGAACCCCAGCCCCCGCCGGTGGGCGCCAAGGCGAACTGGGGCAAGAACCACCACACCTGGAGACTGAAGCGCTCGTGCTCGTGGCGCAGGTACACAATCCTGCTGAGCCAGAGGATTCGGGGCACGGCCCGAGATGTGGGCTCCTCGGGGCTGCTTCTGGAGCCCCTCTCGTACGTGGGCGCCACTGCGACCCCCGCCGTGGAACGCAGCAATAGCGCCTTAAGCCCCGCGGGGGTGGACGACGAGGAGAGGTTTCTGAACGCGCTCGTCGCCAGTGCTCGGATCCGAGAATCGTCCCGCCGAAACGATTGTACAGGTCAGGATGCGCAAGCCGACGAGCTCGGTGATGAATCTGCAGCAGCAGCAGAAGCTCAGGAAGGAGCAGTGGAAGATGAAGAGTTGAAGGAGGGCAAGAGAGGGAGCAGCCGGCGGAGGCATTTGGAGCGACTGGAGACGAAGAAGCTGAACAATGGGAAGCAGCAAGCGTGGCGGCTGTACGTAGAAGGATTGCGGAGCACAGACGAGCAGCACGGGCCGTCGCTGGAGGCCAATTCCGATCACCTCCGAGGGCTGGAGGAGACGATTCTGTTTTTGGATAGTATGGGCGTCGATGCCACGAAGGTTTTAGGTGTATATCCATTCATTGTAAACTGCTCGTTGGAGAAATCCAAATCGATCATCGATACTTTACAGGCGGTGGGGTTGAAGGGGGCCGATTTGGGCCGGATTTTGACGATGTCGCCGCAGATTTTTGGCCTCGGGGTGGAGAAAGACCTGAGGCCCAAGATTGAATTTCTTCTGAAGGAAGTGGGGCTGAACAGGCAGGACCTGCGCAAGGTGATCAGGCGATGCCCTCGCCTGCTCGTCGTCGGCATCGACGATCAGCTGCGCCCGACGATGCAGTTCCTGCGGAACATAGGGTTCACGCACATGGCGTCCGTGGTCTCGAACAACGCCACTCTGCTCACCTGCAGCGTGCCGAACAAGCTGAGCCCGAAGCTGAGGTTTCTGCAGAGCCTGGGCATGTCGTTCGAGGACGCCGCCACCATGGCCGTGCGCTTCCCGGCCATTTTCAACTACGGCGTGGAGCAGAACCTCCGGCCCAAGTACGAGTATCTAGTGACAGTCATGGAGCGAGATCTGGACGACCTCAAAGCATTCCCGCAGTACTTCGGGTACAGCCTCGATTACAGGATCCGCCCCCGACACGAGCTCTTAGCCGCCAGGAACATCAGGGTTAGCCTGCCCACTCTTTTGAAAATCTCAGATGAACAATTTGCGCTCCGATTCCAGGAGGATGTACGGGTGAAAGCTGGGAAGAAACCAAAGCTTGCCACGGTTGCAGATTCTCAGGCGGTCGCACGCAGGAGCGTTCCTGTCCCGAGCTGTCTCTGATTTTCTTCGTGCCCTGCGTGGACCTGCCTGTGCCCTTGCCCGGCATGGTTTGTAGCACTGGACCTTTTGTGTGCGCCGGCACCTTTGCAGGTCCACGAGAGCACGAGTGTACCATGTTTGCAATTCATACACTTTGTAAATACCAACCGGGTTCACCTTCCAATTTGGCATCTTCTCGAGCTGGACTTGGAATTTGTGAGGCTGAATCTGACTGTCACCGCCGTTGTACAACTGTATGTCATGAGCATGTTGTTCTCTGGGGTCCCGACTGTCGCGCATTCTTTCGCTTCGAGTCATAATCACAGTTTGAGGTTTTTTTCAGCTTCTGTCGAAAGCTTGCTCCTGCTGGGACAAACTTGTGGGCAGAGAATGCTGGTCCTTGTCATTGTCCAGCACCAGTTCGAGTTTTAGGTTTGCATGATATTAGAAGTTTTCGTGAACCAGTTGAGCGGCCACATTCTCCGTCCTGCACTGAAGCAGTAGATGCGATTAGAAGGAAGTGTGGAGATTCGATCAGATCCTTCAACAAGAAAAGTTTCATTTCGGGCTTCGACGCTGAGAATGAGTCGAGTCTGGTTTGGTAACACGTGACGAGGATAGGCCATGGCAAGCATGGCCATGGCTGCTCGAAAGCATGTGGCCTACTTGCCATTCTGCACTCATGGTCGCGGCTTGTTTCAGGCCAGTCACATCCTGCAATCTCGGGCCCAGATAGCCATATCAACTTCGAACTCAGATGAGCAGTGGTCTCGAGGTATGCTCACAAGGTGATGAGTCTTGTTATCAGATTTGAGATCAAGCGTTTCTATCGTTGTGTTGTGCCCTCAATTTGCACTTGTTCTGAAGGGCGACGAATGCCGCAACAACTTTATAACCTTCACCCTTAACCCTGCGATTTCAGGTCCTGCCCAAAGAGATGACATGCGCATTACTCGAATTCAGTTCGATAGTTTCTCGAAACTTGGGCCATGAAGACAATCATGGTAGGCACAGCTTGGTTTGCAAGCTTTATTGCTTCTCAAATGCTTAGGAAAACAAGCCGATGGGTATGGTGATTTATATACACTACATACTTGCCTTACAAGTTTTCGATAAAGAGTTGATCTGTCCTGAACGATCATCAATAATATATAATAATAACTGCATACTTGCAATCCCTTCACGTGTGAGAGCAGAAAACCTCGTCGATAGATCATCTACCAAACTGCCGAGATGGGCACTCCTACTTCACGAACAACCTCTACACAGAGCTTGCGCATTTGCAGCTGGGCAAATGCTTCTGAACAGTCTATCCAGTGAATTGATACACTAAACTGTCTCGAGCTCATAGGCTGCAGACACTGTACAAATTGACCGATTCGTCCTGTGTCTATCCATCACACGGCGATGGTTCTAAACAGACTTCCCTTACAACCGAAGTTAAGAACGTGTGTCAGTAGGTCGTAGAACAACACACCAACGAGGGTATGGTGCCACATTCCTTCAAGAGCGTAAGAAGCCTGACTTCCTTCTAAGCACCTCCGAGGCCCCACATTTTCTAACGATGTTGTGATATTGTAACCACTCCGATCTTCTGTTCATGACGGACGAGCGACAGAAGGTTGTGTATTTTCTGTTTACAAAGCAACCTAAATTCGCTCCCTCCAGCAAAACCGATTTAGAATTTCGTGCCCCAAATAACAAATGTTCGGATTTCATTCCTCCAACCGATGGCGGTGACCTTTCTCTGCATTTTACACACAAAATTTATCAGAGGCGATGAAAATAAATCTCAACTAGACATATCCGTATAGAACTCTACAACCTTCGACTGACAGGACTGATTCGAAACAAAGTCGACGAAAGTCTACAAAAGAGATTGCCTCTCAATGTAAACAGCACACAACGAACAAAGAGACGAGCAGAATCTATTCCACAAAGATATTGACAAATCAAAGAACAAAAGGCTCTGTGAAACCTGAGAGATTGACCCGAAGTCGAGAATTTCTTGTCGTTCCTGAGCAAGAGCAACGGCGTGTCCTGAGTAGACAGACTAATTGCCTGTCACATCTCGCGGGGAGGTCGTCCAGATTCCTGGAAAATTGTCTTCAACGATGCGTTGATGCAGGACCCGGACTCGACATCAGTACTTGTGGTGCTTCCTTCGTTACCACTGGTTGGGGAAGGATTCGCGATAGGCTGCTTCCTGATCTATTGCAAGCTGACTCACTGTGGCATCCCTCACCCGGCCATTGAGAAGCCTCCGAGACAGTCTATCTTTCACTGTGGGTTTTTTCCTCAACATTGCTGTCAACCCTCCTCTCGGCTTCTTCCGTTGGGAGTCTGGCATTGCATCTTGGCCAAAAGCTTCTGAGAAACCTTGGCTTGTTGTGGCGATGGCGGCAGCTCGTAAACACGAGTCATTGTGTTGTCTGGCTCTTTTCGCTCGCTCCCTCCTCAGGCTTGCCTTCTCCTCGAAGATCTTCTTTCTGGATTCTCCATCTTTCTGTCTAACATTTGCTATTGCTTGTTTAGCAAGGTCTTCTTGAGCAATTCCATCCTTGGCATCTACTGACACAGAAAGGAGTCCGTTCTCGGTGGCAACAACAACATCATCTGTGTTCTCGTCCTTCTTGGCACTGGATTTGCCCTCAGAACTCTGCTCCTTCTCATGGAGCGGATTCCCAGATGAATCACGAGGTATTATAGGCCCATGAAATGGACACCTCTTCAGATCCCGTCTCTGACATAAGCCACCTTTTCTCAGAGGCGCTAGACATGGATGTATTTCAGAAACCTCGGCTGAGTAGTAAACAGACCGAAGGTTACTTTCAGCTAATTTTTCAGCAGGAATCATCACATCATAGTCCACCTTACCCCAGTGACTTTCAAACTCGAGCCCTCGATTGTTCACAGGCACAGCACTGTCACTGCCCCAGCGTTCCAGAAATGCGCCCCACTTCAATACTGGAGCTTGCTTCAAAAGTTGACCCTTCAAGCTCGTGTCCTCAACCTCTTTACTTTCGGCCACTTTCTCCTCCGGCACCTGCATGCTACCTTTCTCAGGACTGGCTTGCACGTTTCCACCCGTATCAGGTCGAGCAGCTGCAGCAATGGCATCACTAACAGCAGAATTACTAATCAGAACATCTCCCTCTTCCCAGATAATGTCATCCATATCTTCGGCAGCCCCCGACTTGCCACCGCTCTCGGTTCTCTCCATGCCGGCTGCCTCACAAACCTCTCGAGCTTTCAGCAACTTGTTACGCAAATCGATGATATCTCGCAAAAGAGTGTCCCGGGGTTGTCTCTCGTCTTCGGGATCTACTCGGATCAATGTCGATAACCATTCTTGCGTATTCACAAGGTGCCGAGTGGTCAAGAGCCTGTACAGATCCCGGAGAGTATCAAAGAGGGCAGAATTCTCTCCTGTTTCGTGAGGTACCGCCTCCTGCGCTTCGGCATCGTCCCTTGCATCTCGAAGGCTACGAGAACCATACTCTTCGAACTCGTCCTCGTCATTGTCGAGATGCAGATCCGCTTGCTCGTCCTCGGCTTCGTCATCAGCGAGAATGGCAAGGCACTCGGTCACTTGGTCCAAAGTGGAGTGAATTTCAGCACGTAATTCCGGATACTCAGTTTTTAAGGTCGTCAGCTTCTTCTTCAGCAGCTCCTGCGTCCGCTGCTCCCTCTCCTTGCGCTGTTGCTGCGCAAAGGTCGCAACCTCCCGCGCATTGGGAAACTCGAATCGAAGAGTTTTTCTCAAGTAGTCATACGCCAAGCGAATAGGTTTGTAATGCTGCCCGAACATATCATTCCACTTTTCCACGACTTCGATGCTCTTCTTGCGCAGCAGAGTCGCCCTGTCCTGCGGTGGAGGGAGAGGGCAATCGGACCGAAACCCCACACTCAGAAGTAAGAAATTCTCGAACACCGGCACCAGCAGAGATCGAAAGACTTTCGACCGAGTGAACAACTCGTCCATCAGAAGCAACCCCAAGTACCGCACCTGTGCAACAATCGGTCGAAAGTGTGAGAAACAGCTCTCGCATCGACAGCCAACGGAATGCGCTCAGTGAAATCCGCGTACAAAATGGACCAGGCCCATTGTGAAATTCTCTGCTGCCAGCGGTCGAAATTTTATTTTTTTCCCCAAGAAACTTAATTGCTTATTTCGTGTGAGGGGAAATGGATTAGAGAAGGCCCTGACGATCGGTGATTTCGCAGGGCGGACAAATTTGGAGAAATTGGGTCACGGACCTGCGAATGGTTCTTCTTCAGCTTGTCGTACAAGAGATCGAAAGCCACACGGACGTTGGCATCCGAGCGACGGACGACGGCTTTGATGGAGGTCAAAGACCGATCGTCGAGCTGAAGAAGAGGAGAGTTGGTGGCGACATCGATCAGATCCGACAACCTGCGGCGATCATCGCCATCGCCCGCTCCCTCGACTGCATCCATTCCCCGCTTCTTCCCATCCCCGCCACCTCCTCGACGCATCTTCGCTCTCTACGACCCACCCCGACCTCCCGCATCGAAGAACATCCACCGATCACCCGCCTCCCAATCCCAATCCCGATGGCGATGGCGACCGCAATTCTCATTCTCTCTCCGGTCGGCGATGCCGGGACCGCATGACCGTTTTGACCTGTGCTCGGGAGGGGCCATAAGAGCCCGCACGCACTCACTCGGGCGACTGGTCGGGAAGCGTAACACTGAAGCCGGGCAAAGTGTGAGTCTCGAGCAAAACCGTTTGACCGGTTCAAGTGTCATAGGGTCTTATAGATAACTCTAACATTTATGGCATCTGCCGGTTTCGTGACAGCCCACGCCGGTGATCGGACCTGAGAAGGAATCTGCGTTGCGATAATTTAAGAACGCTATCGAGTCGCGACTCATCGAATAAAACAATCGATGGCACAAAGTCATAGGGTAAGAATTACGAATGGCCTGAAGTTCATGATAGTCAAGCACTTAGAATGAATAATAAGAAAGCTCGAGTGTTGGTTTTCGTAATCTTGTTGCAAGTTTTACGCTCAAAATCATCACTGACCTTCATGGAAAAACTTCTTTGAGCCTCACTTTTCATTGTCTCGTTACATTGCTAACTTTTAGAATACTCGTAGGTAGCTATTGGGATGTTTGAACTGATAACTGCAACCCTTCTACATATTTTACATGTTTCATTTGCATGCTATTAAATGAAAACGTATTGACACATACGAGTGTCAAGTTTGGGTTCTACGTCGGCATTGTAGTCAAATACCATAACAAGCATATATATTTGCCCATTTTAGATATAAATCGGATATGGTGCCCAAAAAACTTGCATGAGACAGATGATAACATTTTGTATTGCAAAATCGATGACATTAATACATTTATAAAGCTTCGAATCAAAACTTGAAGTGCGAAGATATTTTCCTCTCATTTACAAAGGAAAAGCAGAATGTCAACTGAAATAAATCTACATACTGCAATCACCTTTTTGTAAAGTTTTCGTGTCATAATTTTAAATTTCTGATGGTCACAAATTTGTGATTTTCGTAGAAAGGCACAATATATTTTGGACAGCAGGTTATCAAGCAGAACCACCGCGGTGATTGTTCTCTGCATTATTCTCTATGATGTGTGCTCATGTGACTTTGAACTGAGAACCCAAAATGCACACTTTATTTCATTTGAGTTGGTACGATATACTCATAACTTCAGTTTTCAGATTTGCAACATTTAGTTTAAAGTGTAACAGGTAGAATGAGTTATGCCAAGACCGCCCTCTTCGGTGATCCCACTTGTCAAAACAAACTTGCTTTCGGAATGTAATTCAGAGGTTGACAATTGCACAATATCACTTCCTGAGCTGCAATGTGAGGAGACCAGATTAAAACATCCAAAGTCTTCACAGTACTGAACATTTGCAGAAGTTTCATTTATGCACAATCAATGCACAAATGAAGTGCATTGATTGTGCACCCTGCAATTGAAAACGACTTGATTCTCAGAGCAGACGCAAGATCCCATGTTCTACATTCGTATCTACTAAACTGTATGTTTGTCCACAAGTAAGAATCTTGACTGTCTCTCTTAGGCTCTGGGAGAGTAGCGGAGTATCTGCTATTGGCTCGGATCGCTTTTACGATGCAGTTACAATTGGCCTTCAAATGATACAGGGAGTTGCACATTGGCAATATGTCTTCGGTATGACAGAGGAGCTATTAAGGTAACAAGGGGGGGGGGGGGGGGGGGGGGGGGGGGAATGAACAGGGTCATATTCACACATGTGACTTGTTTTCTCTCTAGAATGAATATGTTGTAGCTGTGGAATGTTGACCAGGGAATCATGCACCCGCAGAAGCTTGAATATTGCACCCTCAGGCATAAGAGTTTTCGACCAGAACTGCATTTACTGTCAAGTGCAGGATGCTTTTCAACACGAGATTTCAGATAACTTACAAGAATCGACACTGAAGATGCTCGTGAATTCCAGCTCTGCGACAATGATGAATTTCAAAGAATTGGTAGTTACAAAGAAAGAGCGGAGTCTAGCATATGCTCGACAGGCTCATCAAAAGCTTTGGCATCAAGTTGCTCGTCAACGAAGAGTACTCTATGAAGACTCTTTCGATACTAATGTGGCACAAGGCCAAACCCTCGGAAAGCACATCTACTGCTTTCAATCTCGGTCGGCAGAACTCGTGTAAGTACTACCGATGTGAGTTAGACTTACATTAAAAGCTAACAGCTTCATCAAAAACTATACCATACAGAGTTGATTCACCCTGATGTATACAACGAATGGTATATCGAAGCTGCATGACCTTTATGACTAATAATTTCGAAAATTAAAAGTAGAATGAGGTAGAATGCACATATTTAACAACTGCTTTATCATTTGAAGGATTCGAGTATAGTCTTGAGTTCTTGGACAGCTTGGTTTCTACTTCCTTCATCAACCTGCAAGGTAACATCAATCGCATGAGTGTCACAGTGAGTTCATTGGACAATCTACGCAACACAGCATATTCTAGACGAAAGCATTTTCTGCAACCTGGTGGATTGATATTTACAAACACAAGCATTTCAAAACATGATAGAAAGTTCAAAACCCGGATTCAACTTACCTGTTGTAGCATAGCTCGTAGGGCTTCGGGTAATGCCTTGAGATTGCCAGAAGATGTCCCTGCCATGGCGTAGAGCTCTTTGGAGACGCGCTCTTTCCTCATTCCTTGCAAATGCTCTTCCATCACACATGGTTGATTCCCCCAAGCCACAAAAGCTCGGTTGTCATCCCAAGCATCACTAACAGCGTCATTAGCCACGTAGTCAAACTTGGGTTCCTGAGCTTCTAAATACCATTTCTTGATCAGTGCCAGAGCATCTGCGTGAGACAATGTGTCTCCAGCGGCATCTTGCACCTGTCGAACCAAGGCCTCTTCAACCAGTCTGCGCTTCAGCCTTCTGTGGAAGAAGTAACGAGATTGGGCCCATTCTACAGGTTTCTTGATGACTCCTTTCGCCGCCATCCTGTTGGCAGTATCATGGAGCTCAGCAAATCTGATTGCTATCTGCTTGTACAGTGGGAGAAGTTTATTCTCCCGAGCCGTTATTTGCTTCGTGATCGCGAGTGCGGTTTGTGCATCTGCAGCCTGCATCTTTTGTTTCAGCCCTATAACCTGGCTGTCTAATCTATTGATAACCTCCTTGATCTCTCGCTCTCGGAACTTGATCTCAATTAGACCCTCCGGTTCCAAGACACCACCTTTCGCGGTTCTCTCCGCATACATTTCCACTTGATCAACGTTGATTTTACTATCCACGACAACCCAAGCCCCTCCTCTAAGTTCTCCGGTCTTCGGGATGAAGACGAATACGGGCTGCTTGTATGTACGAAGGTGCTCGACTATCATCGAACCCGCCTGCAAAATACCCTCAAACAGATCCCTTTGTCCCCCCGAGAAACCTCTCCAGTTGGCCAGGATGAAGAGGGGAAGTCCCTCTTTGTTGAAGTCCAAGAGCGCTTGGGCCGTTTTTGCAGCTGAATCGGGGAACCACACTTGACCTGCTTGAGGCACCACTCTTTCATGGGAATCTGGCTGACCTGGGTCAGCTGGAATGGTTTGCATTACTGTCTGAGTCTCAACAGCGACAATTCCAACAGGAATCCCACCAAGTCTGCCTCGTCCAGTTACAACTGTTTGCGCCCATCCCTCGAGTGTTTCCACGAAGCTGCCCTTGTCAAATATTCCTCCCAGCCACTTTCCATCAACTTCGATACCCCTGATCGCGGCTCTGGGGTCACAAGAGGTTTCTGGAGTGTACTCAACAAGTCTTTGTGGAGGATCAGTGGCGTGCAAGAAAGGAAGAGGACCACCCTTAACTGCTGGGACATAGCTCAACCAGTTCAAAATTGAAGACACACCCTCCAAATCATCAGCGACCGTAAGGTGGGTGACTCCATTCACGGCCATAACCTTTGGACCACCAAGTTGCATGTGAGAACTGTAAACCTCGCGGCCCAACAGCTTGTTCAAAGCAGGAAATCCAGTCAGAATGATTGGCTGATCGGATCGTTGAATGCACCGCATACCAAGCCTAGCCAAGTACGCCCCTATACCGACTGTTCTTCCAGAAACGTAGGTCAGGGTGAACGTTTCCTGGTAAGCTCGGGAATAGGCACCGGCGATGGCTCCACTTCCCGATAAATTTTCCACTCCAAGCCCGTCTTCCTTACCGATGATGTCATCGATCACCCACCTCACCTCTCCAGAGGGTAACTGTATCTCGTGAGAGACGACAGATGTACTAATGAGTTGGTAATCTTCCGGAGTCAAGTAGAGATATTGGAAGCCGCGATCTGGAGATGACTCGTCCGACCAACCAACTCTGAATGAAGACCGAACCTCATCAGACACACCAATTCTGGCACCTGAATTTGCAGCCAAGTAGATGAGAGGCAACTTGGTTTGAACGGCTAAATCTGTGACTGCCTTAAAAAAAGCATCTTCTTTCTGCCCGAAGGAACCCACGTTGTATGTCACATCATTTGAAACCACAAACACGGCTCTCCCCTCTGGAAACTCTGGTGTGCGCATACGTATCGACCATGCCACCATCCCGACATCGTTGCTCGCAACAGGTCTTGTCACCTCGACGAGGGAGGAATTCCAGTAGTTCTTTTTGTCCACGAAAATCAATTCCGTGGCCTTAAATATTGGAGATCCTCCCATCTTCGTCGAGTTGGAACCCAACCATGCTAGCTCTAACGCCTTCTCAAAAATCTGAAAAGCCACGAGAACGAAAGACTCACATTAGAAGATCCCACCTCTGTACTACCAAAGCTCATCAAAGAACCATAGACTATACCTGGGAAGTATGACCTGCAATCACCGTAGATTCAATCATTTCTAGAGGGCACTTACACGATTACGAAGCATGCAATTCTGTAATACTTTTCTGAATCGTCTACAAGCCACCAAAAAATGCGACTTCAAATCAGTACCAGGGGGAAGTCGTAGCAGTATGTTGTGTTGTTTCTTCTGGCGGTTAGTCTTCTCCGTTCCACGGCATCCAACGGCTTGTGTTGTGTTGCTATTGGCTTTCCATGAAGAGGACCATACGACGCTGGCAGGGGTGAGTGATAAACCACCACACCAAGGACAGCATTCTTCACCTCTTTATAGACCTGAAAGACACATGTAAGCTGGTAAGAGGCTAACGATATCTAGAAAGGCATAGATGCACCTCCTATCAGATAGTTCTATACTGGCAGTCAAAGTTTTATGCTTTTGAACAATAATGGTATTCATAAGTTCGTTGATGACTTTGGATTTTATCCACCTCCAAAGACTAGACAGCACAAGAACACAAGGCCATGGAAACCAAAAATATTAAAGAATGTACAAACGCAACCAGTGACCTCAAAACAGTTTCAAACTAGTAAGAAAAGTGAGAGACACTATTTTATGGCTTATAAATCACAACCAATGACCTCAAGTATGTTTCAAAGTAATAAGAAAGGTGAGAGGCACTAATTCATGACGTATGGATCACAACCAACAAATTGCACGGTCTCCATGGTCCTATACCTGGACCGTGCAGGTATGGCCGGTTGGATTCTGAGCGACAATACGCCATGCTCCAATCGCACATCCTGCATGCGTAAGGCGAAGGCGGATCTCCCACTGCCAAACTGCCAGACGATGCATCCGAGCACCCAGCTTCTTGTAGATGTCGTGTACAAGCCCTTTCAATTTTTCCACTACGTCAACCTGTTCTATATCCTCGTCATCACTGCAGAGAAAAAAAACAGGAGGCATTAACAACATCCATCGAAATCTGAAATCAAACGTTTCATTAAGTAACGCCTAAATATACGCTTCAATAAAAAACACTCACCCAGAGGTGTCAGCTCCACCTATTTCGACAGGTCGTAGGAGGCTCAGATACATGTGGAGATGATCTGCTTTGTTGTTTGAATCATGAACAATGAGTTCCAGCTCCTCCAAAATCCTCTGGATTGATCCCTCCACGTTTTTCGTAGCATGAGCGACATCCACAACCCCGGCGTTGTCAGACGGTTTCACCTGTCTGACCAGAGTTCGCAAGAAGGTGCGTTTCACATTGCTTGGTTTGTCTGTGACGTAGTAGATGTGCCATTGTCGATCCCGAGAAGGAGCGTACCGCATCGATGCGAATCCTTTGAGCTTATTCTGGATATGCACGAATAAATGTCAGAGAAGGAAATTCACATTCTGTACTCATTCCGATGAATACATGAGAAATAAATGAATCTAAAACAAGGGGTTGAATTCGAACCAGTTCCAGAAGGTTCGACAACGGTGGCTCTACATGCCGCGATAGAGGCTCTTCCTCATAAAATCGTTGATCCGGAGCCCAATGGAAGCAGTGACGAGTTGGAGAACGACCTTCGTCTCTTTGGATGATGCAGCTAACTATTCCAACTCCTGCTGCTGTGAGCATCGACCCCAAACTCTCACTTTTCAGGCTCTTCGCTATTTTATCCACACGTTCCTGAGCTTGGTCTTCATCACCACTGCAACGCATAATACTTCCGTTAAGACCCGGGGAGCTCTCTTCATTTCCTTCCTCAAGAAAATGGTAGGAAGTTTCGAGGTTATCCACCTGACAATTGATTTTCAAAAAATTTCTTCTCAAAACCTTCAGGCTACTAAAAGACTTGAAGTTTGTACCTGTCTTGAAGATTACTCATCTGATTCTTGATACCCACGAGGGCCACATGGATGATGTTCCCAAACTCCCTCGAAGACCCATTAACTGCATCCTTTGGAGCTTCCCCAGTTTCCTTCAAAGCTGCCCCAACGGCATTTGCCAGGTAGTGAAGGGAGGTAAGAATAGCCATGGTTCCCCATCGCCTGATACCTTGCCTTTCTTCCTCTAGCGGAGCTAAGGTGCTCATCTTTTCATTCGCTTGTTGAGGATTCTCTTCCATGAATTGCCACGAAGCGATGAGTCCCGAACGGTGCCATTGCATTCGAATAGACCCCTTGACTAGGTAAGGCTGTAAAACCAAAAGACCACCCTCGATAGTTAGCTTAGAACCAGTATGTTATACCTTACTGCACATAATGTCTCGAGGTGTCTATGTCTTGCTAAGTAATTACAATAAATGGTCAACCGACTGAGTATGGACCTGGTATAATCGTCGAATGTAAGTCTCAACTACACGACGCTGCAAAGTGTGATCACTGTGGTCAAACAAGGCCACCAGCGCATCTTCCACTGCCAAGGGAGCATCTACAAGGTCCTCCATCCTTTCTTCAACGGCACTTCGTCGACGACCAGGAACTTGGGTACCGTCTCCACCTTCTTCTGTAAACATTTCCAGCTCGGACAAGCTTCTTGCGATATTTGCTCTCAAGTCACTCAATTTGGTTTGTTCCAGCAATTGACTTGATCTCAAAGCCAGCTGCGTTCAAGTACAGAATGGGTCCATCCACGGTTTAATTAAAAAATGCAGAATATCAACAAAACTATGCTCCAAATAATATCTAATCACTCCTCTTGATTCCACAACTGCTCCTTATAACCCTGTAACTATTCTCGTCGTGAAGGAAGTGATTTAAAACACGAAGGGGCAAGCCTATTCCGACTCACCTCAGATTGAGAAGGGTGGCTCAGTTCTGCGAAGCAAATTAATTGCTCTCTGTAGGCAGCTGGATTAGGATACACGAGCGCGCCCATCAATCTGGAGATGAGGACATTCTTCCTGCTCACGCCCTGAATCCAAAAATTTAGTCACATTGATGTTAATACGGGCACTGGTCATTTGTATACCATGACCCGCGAGTTTTCTATTCCAGTAACTTCGCTCAAAGAAGGAAAACTCAGGTGCCCACACCTGTAACTGACCAGTATAAACATTATTTAATGCATACAAATAAAGACATTAAAGATGCAACTGGAAAGACCAGCCAAATGTAAAAGACCAAATACCTGATGAGAGAGAACAATGTCCACAACTTTCGGAAGATCTTTCTTGTAAGTTTGTCTGAGTCCTTCTATCACATCTGCCTGCGGAAACTCAACAGTAGCCTCTATCAGCGTACACATCAGCAGTACGTCGAGGAAATATCATCGACAACACAATGACCTTTGGGAATGCTGAATACTTTTCCAAGTGGATCGAGTTTCGAGCTTATTTACAATAATTTAGCATGAAGAGTGTTCAGAGTTAAGATTTGATCATTATACCTGCATGTCGGTGCTGAATAATTTTTCTACTCTCAAATACTCGTCAAAAAGCGACTTCACGGTACTACGAGCATGACTCTCGCGTCCCCCCTCGTAAGATTTAACGAGAGTCACAAGAGGCTCCACAAGTCGTATGATAGACGATCTATCACTCTCTGGTACCTCAGCTATAGCAGCCTGGAGAGAGAAAACAAATTCATAAGTTGCACTTACATTTCATTATGTAGCGAAACAAGATGCACAGCATTTTAGTCCACCTTCGTGTAACTTTGGATCTCCTTTGAGTAATGACCAGGATTAGACACTCAAATGCCTAGGACTCTGAAAGTACAAGGAAAAAAAACATTGTACTCGTGGATATACATTTGGAAGGAATCGTTTCAAAACCATCATTTACTTGGGTTGTGAAGTCATGTCTGGGACCTACGATGACTACTCTTAGAGCTTTCGGACTTCAGGCTATGAAAGATAGATCCTATTACAATCAGCAGCATACCCTCCCAAGAATTTTACCAGGCGCACGATCCGATTAGTTTATGTACTTCATCGACATATATCCAAATCCTTTCGCTGTATTTTAAGAAAACAGCCGCAAACAGTTTCCGCCACTCGACATTAAGAAGGAGAGAGACACAAGGCTATTACTTAATTACAAAGGGGATGATATACTCACTTCTATAGCCGCTTTCAAAGATTTCGCCGGGAATTCAACAACTTTGTTGTCAATGAAAGATGTCTCATACTCACGGAACTCCATATCCAACTGCGAGACATTTCAACAAGCAATAGGACCAGACGGATGGCCATTGTTGACAGGAATCAAAGCAAGATCAATATCTGTTGGACCAACTGGGCAGCACATGGAGCATTGTCTTCAAAGCATGATACAATAAATAGACAACAATGAAATTACTGGATTATGACTGGTGACGTTAGGTCCCTTCATCGAATACAATCGTCATAAACACGACAGTCATGCTCTATGTATGCTTACCTTGTTCTTCAAATTCTTCGGCAATCTTGTGCCCAGAATGGACATCTTTTCCTGCCACTGATAAAGCGGAAGCACTGGATCATCCAGGCAAGTAAGAAGAGTCTGCACAACCTGTTTAATGATACCAGCAGTTGGATCACTTGCATTAGGAGAGTAGGTCTTTGAAAGCAAACGGCGTGTAGCTATTCTAGGTTTTCTCTACTTTGAGTACTTTCGTACTCTCACGAAAAATGGACAATTCCCGCCCACTCATGTTGTCAGAACAAAAAGACCCCGGAATCCAATGCCACCAAACTAGTTCGACTTGCTACTTGACAATTTTTTAGTGCGTTCAGTCTTGATTTCCTGTTTATATGATACATCCACGGTCCATGTGTGGCTGACGGTAGGAAATTGTGTTGTTCAAGAAATTATTTAAGGTCAATGATGTTCCCAAAGGGGTGCTAAGTTTTTACAGCATTCCATATACATTTCGTGCTTCCCAGTTCCTTTCAAAATGTATAAGGAGGGACTGCATATAAGGGCAACGAACCGTTTCAATCGGATGCTCGTATCCTGCAAGAACCATTCTTGCAGCACCATCGGCAACTGCACAGCGTTGATGAACCTTAGCAGCAACTGCTGTTGGTGGACCAAGAGGAGGGAAACTGCCTTCGAAGGGCACAGCTTTCTTCACGGCAGATGGATCGTCCAAATCAAGCCCTGCTATCAGATCTCCGGGCTGCGCAGAATTATTCAACCATATTATAAGTATCGCAACGAGGAGCATTCGTCAACACAAGCGAGACATAAAGAGGCAGAAGTGTAGTTCTTTGAGTCCTCCTAAGATCTATAGGAAAGCCCGGGAAGACGATCGATGAGACATTGAACTAGAAGTTAAGCACGAACTTGAGAAAACTAAAAAAAACTCACCGCCATAGTAGAACCCTCTGACATCTTGCAGTGGATTGTTCCGGAAGCAGGGGTCACTAGTGGCATGCACATTTTCATAACTTCCACTTCAGCGTAGGGAGCGTCGGCATTCACATGGCTACCATCAGCCACTAGATATCGAAGAAGTTTGCAGGATGTTTCAGCTATCAAGCGGGAGGGATCATGATCATTCTGCGAAGATTGTTCCAACAAGAAACATGTGAGTCGTCTGCTTCGGCACCAATGAAGAAACTCTCCAAACAAGAACAAAACTGCATTTTGATTGGTTTACCTGTAACAGGCAGGTTCGGCCGTCAATGAGAAGACGGGTACCTGCTGCCTCTTCTTCAGCATAAACGACGTGACTGTTTCCGTCCAGCTGAAAAAACATATCATAAGATATGAGTATCAAAGGTACCAGGTCACGTATCGACAAATCCATATTCTACTGAGTAGGCTCTACCTCGTTCAAAAAGTAGTTGAGTGCCTGGATTAGCTAGCAAATAAAATGTGGGGAACTATATACTGAACATTATGTTTGCGCAAAATGTTCCGTGTGAGTTACTCGAACGTCTATATGTTGATTAAAATCAGGATTAAGTGGAAGTAACAGACGAAAGAAATGCATATGAAATTTCACAAATAGCTAAAAGCGAGCGACCCAGTGAAAGGCGATTGATCGTACTTGCACTAGGAGACCCCCATCACGTAATGTGTGCACTTCAGCTTCGACTTCGGACTGATTGAGTACGAGGCGATAGCTACCAGGCCCTCCCTTAGTCATATCAACCTGCTCAGGCCAGTCAAGTCAGTAGAGGAAATATTCCGATTGATTATAATAAACAGCTGTTTCTACATATAGTTCAGAAACTCAGAATGTCAATGCTTACCGTGTATTTGTAGCCTTCAATGTTGAGAGTCACTTGGAAGCTCACGAGAGAGATATGCTGGAACACGGGTTCAGTTCACATGAGTTTTAACCAGGTAAAACCAAAAGAACTAAACATTAAGTTTCTCACAAACAAACACAACACCTATTTGACAATGGAGGAGACAACTGAAGCCCAGGTGTTAGAAAGAGTATGCATGCGTTTTAAAAAGGTCCGTGAACATCGCACGACATCCAGATTCAATTATTTCCTGAAAAAATAGCGTGAAGCAGCCACGAAGACTGTAGTGAATGATGTGGAACACATACCTTGGGTGGCACCTGGCCTTTCTCAAGGTAGCCAATGTATTCTAAGACTCGGGATGCAGTCAGCATAGTTCCCCTCTGCGGCGTCGGACACATTAATCAGCTTAAAGAATATGATGGTGCATCCAATCTTTGAAAGAAAACTATTTACACTGAGTATGATGTATCATATTCTCGACAGTGGTTACTACTACCTAAGCTTAATTAAAACAAATGAAGAGACTTCCTCATGGCTAGAGAAAGAAGAACCCAAGTGTGTCTTACATATAAAGCACCTCCAACCACAGATAAATTCCAAGGTGGTCTCTCAACTCGGACACGCATGGCTATGCGACTATCCAACCATCCTGTATGGAAGTTGTTTTCTCTGTACTCTTTATCCTGTAACGGACAATCACTGAGGTAAGCGTGGCTAGTCGTCATTGAAATTTAGGGGCGACGAATGTTGTGTTCAGGGTCTCATAGACAGTAGCAAGAAACAAAATTATGATTAATGCTCATTTCAAAAGTAGGCACACATGTGATAAACTTGGAGTCTGAAAGACGTACATGTAGGAGATCCACAGTGTAATCGACATTAGTGCGTATTTCTCCTCTGATGTGAAGTTCCTTCAGACCGAGAACCATATTTGCTATGGCGATAGGTCTAGTCTCACCGTACGCAAACACATGACCTGAATCAAAACCGGATGTTAGTCTAGAAAGTTGATCTCTTTGTTATGGCTGAGTCATATTGTGAATAGTTTTGAGACTCTCATAGAAGCAAGCATAAGCAAGGCTATGTCCACAATCAGAAGCAAGCTTGATGAAGGGAATCCTCATGGCCATAAGACTTACCGAACTGTGAGTCCGAGAATTCATGAATACCTCCGCCAGACTGCGATAGGACACGGAAACACAATAGTCATGTAAATACTGGAGGGGAGTGTGAGTCAAAGTAGGATAACGAAATGTGTACTCACATGTAATCATGGTATACCTGTAGGCTACACAGAGAGCATGACATTCCAGATTTATAACCTTACCTTGACAGAAAAGTAGGCCCAAACATTCGGCTTGCTTCGAAAACTGAGTTCCTGCACTTGACCACTGGTAGGTTTGAAACCATCATCGGGATCTTCACTAGTAACGCGCACAGCCACAACATGACCTTTGGGCTTCGTAGCCTCTGTCGTGAAAAAATCAAAAGGTTCTACAGTCGCCATGTCACGCCAGGAAGGAAGACCTTCACCAACGGTCTTGCCATAGAATCGCCTCATTTCTGAGAACCACCAAAAACATGACAAGTTTTGATAACATAAATCTTCACTTTCCAAAAAGGATGGCTGCAACACGGGTCCAAAGGATACATTAAAGAATGTAAACTAAGAGGTTTCCATATCCTGTCACGGGCTCACTATGCTTAGAGCATTGTACTCACCAGGCATTCTCCACAAAGGAATCCCCATTCCGATGCACAGCTGAGCTGCAGGAATATTGAATTCTGCTATCCATTCTGTAACAGGATGTTCGACCTGTAAAAGAGGTGAAAGATTTGGAGGTTTTGAGTTCCAGCTTTTACTTTTCCAAAAAAAGTCATTCCCGCTTTTAACGAGCACGTAATATTCCCTACGCAATTCACCTCTCTGAACAATTGTTTCCCAAATGATCTTATTTATTCTTTGAAAGTCCACATGGCTCAGGAAAGGCAAAGATGGAAGACATTTTAGGTTGGAATACCTGCAAACGTGGATTAAGTTCAAGAAAATAAAACTCTCCAGTTTCCATACTGAAGAGATATTCAACCGTTGCAGCTCCCACATAGTTAACAGATTTGGCCAGCCTACAAGCTCCTTGTTCCAATGCCTTGATTGTTTCAGGCGGTGCGACAGTAATAGGACCTTCTTCAATAATCTGTCCACACAAGACACGGACATCAAAATCAAGAGTAGGAACTTGTGTACATGAAATGGCTGAACCCAGAGCAATCCAAAACAGAGATAATACCATGCACACCACGAGCACATGTTTATAAGAAAAGAGTAAGAGGTTTCAGGACACCTTTTGATGACGACGCTGTACACTGCAATCTCTGCTGTGTAGAGCCGCAACGTTACCGAATTGATCGGCGAGGAGCTGCACCTCCAGATGTCTACTCTGTGAAAGAAACAAATGCACATGAGATGGGGAGCGTTTACACTTCCAGCTGTTTGACGGTGCCAAAGTGGAAATAACGTCCTACATTTGTCATATTTCAGATTCTAAGAACATACCTGAGACGCAACCTTCATTGTAAAAATGGGGGATCCTGGTACTTCTCCTTGAACTTGCTTGAACAATGCACGCACTTCGTCATCAGAATTCACCTGCGACAAGAAAAAATGATCATCCAAAATTGCAGTCGGGTACTTCATTGTGTAAATACAGCGCTCCATTGCCTCATAACTTAGACAAACTCCGTATATACACCTTCATGTCTCTTACCTTGCGAATACCTTTACCCCCGCCTCCCCATGATGCTTTAATCATGACAGGATACCCAATGATTTGGCAGCTGGCCAAAGCTTCTTCTGTCGTATATACACACGCTTTTCTGTACACCTCATCTGGAATAGGCTCCAAACAACTCTCAAAAGCTATTGAAACCTGTGATCATAACCACACAACGAAAGAACCGTCAACTGGTGAGAGAATGTTTCGTGAAGGGACATGGGAAATATGTACACATGCAGTGATGCAATAAACTAGACCGACTGTCTCTGTAGATACAAGGTACCTTCTCGGCGGAATTTAGACTCATACTCACATTCGAGCCACTCCATGCCATTGTCGGAACACCCGCAGCTTGGGCGATGATAGAAGACCCAATCTTGTCACCCAAAGCTGCCATAGGTTCAGCTGGAGGTCCCAAGAACACAATTCCACGTGCAGCCAGTTGCTCTGGGAGTTCCGGAACTTCGGATGCGTGCCCCCATCCTGGCCATACAGCTGATACTCCCGTACGTTCAGCAATCTGCAAACATTTCAAACAATAAGGAAACATTCAGTGACTATCATCAAACTCGTTGTTCGTGAAATCCGAAGGTATTCGTTCGCTAGAGAAAAGGACTAAAGCGGAAGGTTTAAGAAAAACGTTGATGACACATCGGCTTCCATTTCCTAGCAGTAAACTAGAAACTCTGTAGACAATTCAAAGACTTTGATCATCATAGGACACATGTGATTTATTCAAAACATTACAACTTCTAACTTCGGGAGTCCTTACTGTTAGCAACTGCCTATAAAAAATACTTGTGGTACACATCTTGCCCAAATTTCTTCAATCTCGAACTCAGTGACTCCCGTGAGCGTGAATCAATCAATTACGGCAAATCTTGATCAAGACTAAAATTCAGTGAACACAATGTAAGGACGAGCTTTCCCACCTCAACAATGAGCTGTATATTTGCATAATTGTTGTTGTTAGTTCCTCCAGGAACTTCAATGAACTGATCAGCCATCCGAATGTGCTCCGCATTGATACGCATATCTTCAGGCGTAGCCATAGCCACGAGGGTCACTGCTTTTTCCACCCCAAATGCCTCATAAGCCCACATCCGAATGCTCCGTATGAACTTGACAGCCGCCATTCCATTGTTGGCAATGAGAATGCTGTGAATGGGCTTGGTCCCCCCCAGCGCGAAACAATACTCCTCAAGTTGCGACACGTATGCGGCATGTTTTGAACCTGCATGACCGTTCGCACTCGCTTCGACCACCATGGCTACTCCTCCTGATCTCCCGCAGAAAAGGAGGAGGTTTAACTCGATAAAATGCTAATGACTGGAAAATTCGAACACCTTGCGTGTCTCCTGAAGAACGACATGGACAATTAGTCAACTTTCTTAGAAGCGATATGACAATCACACCAACCAATACTCAGAAGGGACACTAAAACAAGTCCAGAAGACGAAGCTAACAGAGCCATCTCAGAACTCCGCAATCAGCTACCAATCGTCGCTCTTAGTCCTCCTCCCAGAGCGGTATTTCTCCATCGATATGTTCCGTTCCCAGTCGACCACAATCCTAACCCTCACCGTCTGTTTAGAGGATTACACAAGACTTCATAAACACTACGACTAAAACTTAGCGATACAACTAAGTGGACTGGTATCATGCTACTATCCCAGCTGGAGGTTCATCGGTATCAACGAGACTTTTCGAAAAAACGAATCAACAAATGGAACATTATAAGCTGACTTTCTTCCTCTCCTCTTCGTTCGGAACGTTCTAGAATCCCTCTGAAATTAGTGTCTTCCGACTGAGTCGATCTGATCAATACGCATATCGAGAAATTCGTGGTGGCCTTATTGTCAAATATCTGGATCACATCTTCGGTGAGGTAAGTACTTGCATCAGTTCCATCGATGAGCTAGACTCATTCTCCAGACGGAGAACTCCTCTTTTCTGTTTATTTGCTCGGAAATCGCGCTGAAAATCACATTACTGATCCGACGGGAGCTGATGGTTGTCAAGTGAGCTCAGAGCAACATACGGTGTATGTTATCTCGTCTCCTGCTTGACCGAATCAAGAAGGACGGGAGTCAACCAGCCCAGGCAGAAAAGTGCCATTACTTTCGACTGTCGAGTTTCCACCGGAGAAAGCGACGAGAACTTCGGCACCCATATTTGTACCGTTCGCCTGGAGACTCCATGCTACCTCCTTAAGCGCAATCGCAATTGCAAGACAGACTTAGACACTATACACTTCAAGACATTTCTTAGAAGATCCAACAACATCCTGGGCAGGATTGCCAGAACTATCGAGAAGCAGAGCACGTAGCACAGTCTTGCCACCTGATGTAGGCCGTGCATTCGGCACTATTCGAATGAACCTCGAATGACAAGATATCAGCAAGTCGGAAACTTAGAAATCTAGGCTCTAGAGGCCCTTCTCCCGGAAGAAGAAGACTTCGTCGTAAGTGCGGAAGTCGCCAGAAGCGCACGTATCTTCGTTATTTTGCGGCATCAGTACGGACAGGTTTTCTGCTGTCGACTTCCAAACTTTGATGCAATCAAAGTGATCACGCACCACTATTGCTAAAGACAGGTACGAGTTGAATCGACAACAGAACTCACCAAATTTCAGCGCCTAGCACATTTACAACGATGGATATCGCATTCCTCGGCTGCTGATGGCCTTTGAGAGCCACAAAATAATCCTCTGATGGGCTCCTATGTACAAACGTCGTTCTCCTGCAATTTTTGCAGGTCCCTGTCTACTAGATGGGATGATATATGGATGGAAAGGTAGGGAGAAGAACGATGGAATCAACGCCTAGAGCTAGCTTTTGGGAAAGGAGAGAGGGAAGCGAGACGAAAGCACAGAAAAAGAAATGGTACAGAGCTGGTGGGTGAAATGCAAGCAAAACGAGTTGGTGTTGGAATTTGTTTGTGGGTGTCTGTGCAGACTGGTGTGTCGGGGAGAGTGAGGTACCACCCACTTTCTCTCGCTCTCTCAAGAGCACGCTCTCATTGGAACGTTTATGTTTGCACAACTCTTGAGACTGGACGGGCGAGGGATATTACTTTCGCCTCGGGGAAGGAAGACGACAAGGGGCCGACTGTAGCACAACCAGCGCTGTGACTTCCTGAATCCTCTCTGATGACGAGAGGACTATTCAGACATGGACTCAAGACTCGTTCAACGGCTGCCACTCCATCCCATTAGCATGCTACACCGTGAGGACTTTGTGACGCGCTGACTACAGGACCGCTCACTCCATTCACGAGCCAGTTTCATCCGGTCAAACCTTGCTAGACGATCCACGTACTCCCGGTGAGTTCCGGCTCCAAAAGTTAAAAGGAATTCTTTCACTCTGACCGCTTGCAGTGTAGACTGCATGACGTTTACAGCGTAGACTGCATGAAGTGTTCTCCCATGCTTCGAAGGTCCACAACCAGATGAGTAAACGAGCCCTCGACCTCACACTAAGTCTCATTTGGACCAGAACTGCAGTGAGAGAATCAGTTCGCCCTCCCTCTTTACGATGACTAACTGCCGTGATATGGCTTAGTTCAGGACTTACACAGATTATCGACTCAGTGCCTCATAATCACCGAATTTATCACATCCCAGCTTGATTTTGGCTGGCGTGACATGGCTTAGCTGCTAGGCAAAGCTCGTACAATCTCGTCAAGCAACAGTTGTCGTGGAAAGCCCCTAGGCAATATATCATTTCCAACTTCGGAAGAGCTGAAAATTCGGATAATTTAACAATCGCTGCATCAACGACAAAGTGAAAACATGTACTTTATTAATCAACTCAAAGGTCTTTGATCGTACAGGACAGTTCCGAATCTACAATTTCCCTCCTTTCTACTGTGTCTCATCATATCATCTAAGGACTGGCTGTCCCTGGACTACAAAAGCGACTCAGGCATATTAAGGTAGAATGGCTTGTTGAGCTTAGAAAAGGTGGTTCAGGTTAAGTTAATTGAGGTGTTCCATTCCCATGGATATGCCAGTTACAACTTTTACAGACGATTATGACGAAGACCCTGAAGTCCACTTTCAGTTCAACTTGAACCTGGAAAAGTACGTCATAGCACTAACATTTCATCCGAGGCTTTTATAAGGTCATCATCACTTTCAGTATCATTGAGTAGAGAACGAACGGGAACCTAATCTTCACCTCTTGTACACCGGGTTTAGGTAAGCTCTATGCCCGGCTCATTTCCATGGAGATTGGAACAAATGTTATCATGAGTCTTCTGAACTCGCATTTCTTACACACACTGTTCTTCGCCGTCGATGTGATGGTTACAGACGTTGCTCATTAATAAGACTGTGACAGATAGACAGCGCGAGGGAAAATAATTGTGTGAGAATTGGACGCTCTGTTTCTGAGGAATGCAAGCGACCTGAGCCCAGTCTACAAGGATGAACCAAGACCGCATAATCTCAAATACTTGTGACGACAACGAGTGATGAGAACGGTGCACTCACACACACGGTGTGCACTGGAAGGCCAGAAGACTAGTCGAGCACGTGGGTAATTGCCCACCTAATACACAATGGTGTTAGGTGGGCCATGCCCGTGGTGCCACTACCCACCATCCATCGCCTCCCGTCCCCGCCTCATTCTTCTCGGCAATAATGACCCTCCAGGGCAACATATACACCATGAGGAAACAGGCCTTCCCAACAGTTTATCACCTTGCAAGGCTTGGGGAACCTCGTAGGCTATGGATTCGAGTTGCATCACAAGGCAAGCATATTCTTCTCCTTGTCTTGCGCCATATCCCCAAAAACTCGTCCTCCATGTTTGCATGAAATGGCTGACTCCATTCAAAAGCATCGGAGAGCGCACGAGTTAGGCGAACAACAACCTCGCTTCTCCCATGATTCAACAAAACTGTGAATCAAATCTTCGCATAGAAATCCAAGATTCTCAAAAGACCGATCTCACCACCAAATGTAAGTAAGCAGGTCCTCAGTTTGAACCCCTTTTCTACACTACCTGGCCCCATTCCATTGTTTCAACCTCTTTAAATGACCACTGAAGCTTTTGCTACGATCTCGCGACCAGTCTCATTTATTTTCTCAATGACCTAACCTCCATCTCTTTCCACCTCGTCGGCATTGAGCTTCTTTGTCCTCCTCTGCCCACTTTTATACTCCCGTCACGTCTTTTCTCCCCATTCCGCCTCGTCCTACGCACAATGCGTGCACCCGGTTCTGTCGCTACTCACTCACTCACCCCCGAGGCATGTTGACGAGACCTCACCATGTGGAATGAACTCCATTCAGCAGATACCGACCCTACAAGGTCTCGAAATCAGGCCTACGATGCATTAGGATGCATGCATCCCAATGCAGTGAAAAGTTGCCTTCGACGAATTAAAAGTAACTTATTACAAGGTCAGGTCACGAGCCTAAAAATTCCGTACTTTGAATCCAGGAACAGAAGGTTTAATAGTAATAAAAGGTCAGACTTATCACATATTGTGTGAAAGTTGGCCAAGTATTGTAATGTAATATTGCAATGGATGTAGAACATCATCATGAATTACCGGGTTGAAATCGAACGGGTAACGTTCGTCCCCAAATAGCATAACACTGGAAATGATGTACTATTACACTTCAGATGTCCAATCTCTCTAGGTTGCATTGTGCACTCACAACCAAATAATCATCACCTATTTTTACCGTATGATAATTGTATTATAGATTTCGTTGTCTACAGTTTTAAGCAAATGAATGTAAACATGTCGGATAAAATATAATTAAAAGTTTGACTCAAAGGAATTAAGCCATCACCGCCTAATAAGCTCTATCTTTCACAAACGTTTTCATTTTTGCATCCATGTAATGACACGCTTAGGAGAACGAAGAAGTATCTTCTAAGTATAACTTCCTTGTAAGTGATAATCTAGCATAGACTTACATGATTCTAGCCCTCCAACCTGTTCATGGTTTTCTTCCGTCTTGGTCATAACAAACTTGTCAGCATCTGCAATCTAGAGATCAAAACTTGATAAAAATATGATCGAAATTGTGAACTAAAATCCACATCACACGTTGGTTCTAAGGAGCAAGTTTTGGCATTCTTTCAACGTAATAGTTTAAGTGTGACAATTTCAGCTTGTTTATGTGTGCACTTGACCTCAATGATTTCTGGTGACACAGTTGACACATAAACTAAACAGCTACCATATCTTGTGTAACGTTGTGACAACACTCTCAGAACACCACCACCACTTGTACCACTGATATCAACAGAATATTGGTAAAGCAAATCTCACAACTGTTGAGCAAGGTAGTAATATTATTTTCTATGAAAAAGCGTACTAAAAGGCTGGAGTTAACGTACTCCGGTGTCAAAGAGAATCGTGCTCCTGTCCCCAGCATGACACGTGATTAACAAAGGATCTGAGCACAAATTGGACAATTCTCATAGCATCATTAAGAAACATTTCAAACTTCATGTTGGTAAAACTCAAGTTTTATGGAAGGAATAAATATAACGAGGTTATGTACTCTTGGCAGTTCCATGGGACATAAACGTTCGTTGTAAGGTCATCGAATTACACATATATATATAAAAAAAAATTGGCACTGTTCATGATCCTCCCTTCACTACGAAGAAGAGACAAAATCCAAATGTCTATGTTCGGAAGAATATAGATATACACAACTGATTATTTCTTCTCATTCTAAACTACACTTTAACTCCCAAACGATGACATCAGTATGGAGCATTACAGCTGAGCATATTCACCGCCACACTTGTGATAGTGTCATAATGCCTAACTGGCCAAGAGATTCATTCATATTGTAGTCTGCGCAGATATATTCCCTTGTTATGAAATGTGGCTTAATCATCCACCCAACATGCTGCTCTTGTATATAGGCATGGACAAGAACAGAATGGGCATGAACTTTAACAAAAATTTCCAGGAAGTCAATGATGGCAGCACGTGATAAGAACGTGCAATATGGTGCTTGGCCTACAAGATGTATTCACACTTTTGAATCTTTAATTCTTTTGTCATTTCATGAATAAATTGGACTCCTTAAGCAACTCGGACTACATTACATCGATACAAATTGACCCTTGACAATTTTTATCATCTCCATTGTAAAGTCGATGAGTTATACGGTGAGCAACTCGGATAGTGCATCGATATGAATTGACCCTTGATTATTTTTTTGTCATCTCCATCGTGAACTCGATGAGTTGTTAGATCCGTTGGCACTGACAACACTGCAGTGGAAGTGACGAGGGAAAGAAAGTCAACTAAGTCTATTTTGAAAGTAACAATTATCGTTAGTTTTTCATTACCTGACTTACAACATGCTCATGTGTTGGATTCGCCTTTGGAAGGTCTCCTAAAGCTAGTTCAATCGGTCACATGAGAGTATCTCAATAGTGTTACCTGATGTATCACATATAATAGTGTCAATAGCACATCTGTTTCATGGTAAGGGATCTATATCAAATTTGACAACGGAGCCTTCATTTTTCTTAGATTCACTTTTGTTTTTCTGTCGTGCATTCTTCCACCTCCATGTAATTTAACACTCTCGTTCTTACACGTGAAAGGACCCTCCGGCCTTCTCAAAGGAACACACAGAAGAACACAAGGTGCAAAGAGCATATATCGCTGGAGAGTATCCAAATGTAAAAGAGAAGAATCGTAGAATGAACGAAAAATAAAGTTATTGGGAAAAGTTCAAGTTTAAATGCAGTACAAATGCCATCACAAAGTACAAGGATGTTGTTAGATGGGTCACTGTCTATTTCTGTCCCAAGAGCAACCACCAAGAGACCGAGCGTGTCTGAAGTGGACCAACTTTGTTGACTTCGATGTCTGACTCTAGGAATTCGGAGACAGGACCCGCCTTTCGTTCGCTCCTTTCGACCGTGGTTCTAACCCACCGTTAGTAAAACGTTATTCCAACAAAAATATACTTACGTGGTAGGCGGCTGGACCGGGTGTACCGGCCGCGTCGACCAAGTCTCTGGTTCGTTTGACCTCGTCACGTAGTCTCTGCCTACTTATAGATACTTCTCTCTGGTCTACACCAGAAGAAAGGTCCACACTAAGATAGAGGAGGGCCCTCTATAGAGCGACCACACATCTCCTTGATTCCAATCTATACCAGGGGTTTCCAATTCTCGTGAAGAAACATTTTTCATGTGAAGAAGC